CTCTAACAGAATAGTGGGGAATAGGATTTATATTCCTTGCAGGCAGCTAGTCATTTGTATCCTTTTATAAGGTCACTGAAGCACTTGGAAGTTTATTCTGTGTCCTCAGGGTCACCTGGGTAGTACTCCTGGTTCCTGCAGTCTGCAATTTTTCTCCATTCCTACTCCCACACCATTCAAAGGGTGTCCATCCCAAATTGTATAGCTAAAAGTCTGTAGAGATTCTCAGTCATCCAGGTCATGGAATATAAATCCTTCCATTCCCCACTATCATGTCAGAGCTGAAGAAGCTTCTGGGATGACAAGCAAAATGTCTTCAAAGAAAAAACAAGAAAGTCCAGTTGTCTCCTAAAATAGCACCTTTGGGATAGTACAAAAAGAGAAATTTCATCCATAGTTTTTTTCCTATCTCTACAAGGGATGGGTTCCGCTAAAGCTTTCTTCTGCATCAACTCCCTATTCTTTTAGCGATTGTTTCATAAATTCATTAGCTTGATACAGCACAGTTAAGATAAAGAGACGGGGAACTCTACCACTTAAACTTCTAACATCGGAAGGACTACTACCCCTTCCTCTTAGCCGTGCATTCAAACCCATATTTTCTCCTATGAGAAGGCAGATCGGCGGACACCCGCCTCCAACTTCTCTTGCTTGTTCGGTTCTTCAGATGACTCTGAGAAACCAAGTCTTCTTGTAGACTTCCAGGGCGGGACAGCACCAATGAGTGACTGTCAGAACCTGCCACAATAACATCTTGCCCATTACGCTGTTGCAAGACTCCAGATAGGCATTACTCTCATTCTCAACCGCCGCACCACGAAGGCAGCTTCTCCCAACCTTACACATAGGGACACACGGGCAGAGGCAACGCAATAAGCTTTCTCTCTTGCCCCCACCATGAAACTGACTCTGCGCACACCCATTGAAGTAAGGACTTATCCACCCTAAGCAGCCGATCTGCGGCTGCAGCTCTCCACCCTCTCGCCTTGCGCAGGAGACAGCCCTGTGGCGCCAGTTCAACGTTGCAGCGCATGAGGAACGTTACCCCGGGAATTACCGCTCAAATTAAAAAAACAAAACAAAAAAACAACCCGTGAGAGCACCTAATATTAAAGTCAACTTGAATTAAAGTCAAAGTACAAGCAAACCAATTCCCGAAGTAAGTTCTGAATCCATTTTATCATTACTTTTGCAGGAAAAAAAGCAGATGACGAAGCTACCTCACACGCTCCGACATTAAAAAAAAAGGGGGGGGCAGAGTTTAACGCGACGCATGCGTCGTTCCGGAGGTTGATTCATCACAGAGACGGATCGCTGTTGCTTCTGATTGAGCAGTGAGCGGGTCACGTGGGGTGTCATAAACCTCGCCTTGCCGTAATTGCACGTAACGCCAGGCGTAAGTTGGGGCTCTGGCGGCCTAGAGGAGGCGGGGGAGGATGATTGTTTTCCATTTCCGGTAGAGGGAGTGGAGACGCTTTCCGGGGCGAGGATGGGGTCTTTCTCTTCCTCCTCCAAGTGGGAGAGGGGGACTCTCCGGGCAGGGCGGACCACCTCTGCTTTGTAACTTTTGAGTAAATCGGCTCTTAAGGCTGTAGAACGGAATGGGGAAGGAGCCGATGTTCTAATAATCTTCGATTCACGGTTCTTGTTGAGGGTCTCCTCCGGTTCGGTATTCAGTCGGCCAGAAATCATAATATCTAAGATTACTGCATATTCTCTTATAATTCAATTATTACAGGTCCCTGTGTTCTTCTGACCTTCCCGCTTCCCTCTCTCTCTCTTTGTGCCCTCCAGGTGAGTTAGCATCAAATGCATTTGAAGGGCCTCAAGCACGGGAGAACTTTTTCGTTTTTTGTTTATTAATATTTGCAACTTAATGACCACGGGACAGGTGGCTCATAAAACACTTGAAATAATTAGTTTTTGTATTAATGATTTAAAAGTCATTAAGTATTAAGAGTTATGCTTTTATCTTCCTTTCCCCAAAATTTGGTTAAATACTAAAAGTCTAAGTTTAATCCTTTGGATTCTGAAATTTATTGAAATAAAAAGCAGATTCAGTACTACCGACCTTTGTTTTATTACATAGCCATAGCATAGTTGCTTGGACTTTCATTAAATTTGCAACTTTTAACTTTAGCAGTAGATTGATGAAAAGTATTTGTATAAGAACTATTGAAGAAACAATAGTTTTGAATAAAATGTGAAAATATATGGGGATAGGAGTTAACTGTTTCTGTTGTTTATAACTTTTCACCCCAACACAATGAAACAAAGGAGACCCTATTGCATCTTATATTTGGGCTTGGCCCTTTTTTCATCTTTAATGGAATTTGTGATACTCCAAAAGTTTGAGTGATCTATTTTCTCCCATAAATGATAAAAGAATCTCTTAATGGTCCCTAAGTAACTTGTTCAGTTGTATTTTTGCAAAGGCATATTTCCAAAGTGATGAGAGTAGATCTGTGTAGCACACATTTTAATGTTTTCATCTATTTATTTCCCAGAATTCCCTTATGTAACTTATTAACTAGAATTTGATACATCTAGTCTAAATTACTGTATTAAAGTACAGTGGTAATATATGGCATTTTTTAATGGTGGAGGGGTTTTTTGGTCATATTCTCTTATTTCCAATTAAATTCCCTGAATCTGCAAAACACTTTGTTTATGAACAGAAGAAATTTCTGTTGAATTAATATACTTCCAATAAATAAATAAGAACACTTAAAGGTTGTAAATCTAGATGTTTTATTTTTTTTATAATTTATTTTGATAATTCCTCTTTTACCTAAATATGATAAAATCAGAATTTAACTGGTTTATTAAAGACATGTCAATTGCAAAACAAGGGTTATGAAATTGATATGGTTCAAGGAACAAGAATTAATAAAAAGTTTTCTGTTATAGTGCTAACCTATGATTGATCAAAAATAGTGAAAAAGTGGGGGAATAGTATGGGGAAATCCCTACAGCTCATCACAACCATAGTTTATTATGGCACATTAAATAAAGGATTAAAAACTTGTGGGCCTTTTAAAATATCCTTTGTGGCTTCTGGAAAAATATATGTATTTTTTGCATTATAAGGGACTTGAGAGATTTCAAGGGGAGAAATGGATCCATGTCATTTGGACCATAACAAATTTGAGGTGTTTTGTATTTATTATAGTTATATCGGTAATGAATACTCTTAATTTCACACAGCCTTTCTGCAGAAATTAGTATTTCATTTGTAGTAATCAAATTAATTCAAAAATCCAAACGTAGTCTTTTTTTATTTCAGATGTGGATAATGGATTTAAATTACAGGGAGCTAGGTTAAAAGAAATTTACTAACAGCATAAAAGTTTGAGAGAAGGACCAGTCTCCCAAAGAGGTGGTTGGTTCCATTGCAACAACTTTAATTTGATTCCATGCATGGAACAAAAAGATAACTTCATTGCTTTTTTACTTCTGATTTATGTCAATGAAGTATGCTTTTCTGAAACAATTTATGAAAATGTTTTTAGGATTGTGAATGGTTCTGAAGTTGTAAGCCACCTAAGATTGAATTTTGTACTTAAATATAGGCAGGCCTTGACTTATAACCGTAGTAGAAACCAGAAGATGTCATTTAGTGTTGCGATTAAGTGAGGTATCATATGACCATCAAATTTTATGACCTTTTTATCTCAGTTGTTAAGTGATTCACTTGCATGTGAACACAACTTGCAATCTCCTGCTGGTTTCTCAGTTGACTTTGCTGTTTGGAAGTTTGCTAGGAAGATCACAAATGGCACCTACAGGATTGCACAGTGCTGCCACTTTCATGAATGCAAGACAATTGCCAAGTTCCGGTATTGTGTTCATGTGACTCTGGGTATACTGCAATTGTGTGAGAACCTATCCTGAGTCATTTTCAGTGCTGTCATAACTTCTAATGGTTGCAAAACAAATAGTAAGCAAACACTTGTAGGGTTCTTTGCTTTCCAAGGACTGGGCACACCGAAGCATAGCAAAACAGTACACAATGCTTTATTGCAACACTCTTTCCCAACAACAGTCTGTTGCTCTGGGTCAACTCCACCCTTCTAGTAATTATGTCTTTAATACTCAATCTTTTAATACTCAGATGAAACAAAAGTCTCAGTCTATCAAGTAGTGTGCAGTCTTTAACCTTTTCCCCAAAAGTTCTTGAACTAATTGGGATAGGGTGCTGTTTCATTGTGATTGCTCATTTTCTAGTTGCTGATGAGCCTTAGGCAAAGCTCCAAACTCTAGGCAGGATTCCCACCAGGATACCCTGGTGCTCATCATAGCTTATGGTCCTGCCACTTAAATAATACAGTAGTCCTCTTGCCTGTGCTTCCTTGTCTGTATGCTGTTTGCTATCACCTTTCCTGCTGCACATATCCCATTCTATCTTAGCGTTTGCATTTCTAAGCTAAGACCCTGAGTGAGGTTAGACTGCCTCTGGAGGTCAGTACGTACATCAGAATGACAGGGCGTGGCTCAATTATAACAGGCAGCTGGAATGCTAGTTTGAATACTTGGGATTAAATGTATGGGGGAAATGGGGTGGGAAGAGTTTCTGCAGACTGCAGCTACTCTCCTTCACAGGTCTACCTATATGGAGTTGCATTTGTATTTAACATATTTGTGTTTTAGGAATTACTGCATGGTAGAAAGTAGCTACAGTTACAGCTACATCCCATAGTAGCAGTAGCTACAGTTACAGCTAATCCCATAGTAGCTACAGTACATGAGTTTAGTTTTTAGACTTAATATGCATGTTTTATGCTTTAAATCAAGTTACATTGCTTTTTGTATAGAATTTAATATTTAATAATATGCTTCTGTGTACATTAAATAACCCTACCAACTGTATTTGAATCTCCTCTCTGTATCTATCAAGTAAAGCAAATGTGTTCACATTGGATCGAAAGCATTCAAGGTTTAAACATTGCATAGACCTTGTTTTTCAGCTTGGCATAACATCAGATTGCTTCTGCTGAGGTCAGAATAACCTGTTTTGAGCAAGAAAGGACTTGTTCCTGGGATAGTTTGTTAGGCTATAAATTTGTTCAGTTTGTTCCAAGGTTGGAGACATGCCTCTGGCTTCAGACGAAAGAGACTGACTTTAAATTCTTCCCTCTCGTGCTACAATAGAAACCCAGGAAAGCCCCACCTGCCTTGATAAGAGAAAGAGTATGTCACATTAGATGGAAGGAGAGGATCCTAACACCCTTCCCCCAATTAATTGCATACAGCAAGATTTTTTTTAAGAGAAAGTATTACTTCTGTTTTTCTTGTGTATAGTTGAAGGAAGCACTTAGATTTCCATTTAGTATTGATGTGCTTGATTAATCCTTTACCCATTTAATTGGGAGTGAGTTCCACTAAACGCAATATAAATTTTATATGTATAAAATTTTGCTATAGTTAAATAAGTAAATTTATCTTAATTTTTGTGGAATTTGGTACTGAATGAAAATAACTGCATCCTAAATGATGTCACCAATATTGTCTAACTAGCTCTAAACCTTGCTTTGCTACAAAACTGTGATTGGCCTTAGTTTTTGGGGAGGAAAATAAGGGGAAACAATTGTACCTCTGCCTACCAGCATCCATTGGTATTGGATATCTGGCTACTGTCCTGTCAGCGTGTGAGAGAGTTGAGGGCTGCTTGGAAATTGAAACATGGAAACTGAAACAGTATTTGTTGTGTGAGCAAGAAGGAGACAACAAGGAGCCTGGGCATAGCTTAGCTCAACTGTTCTGTACTAAAGCTGGTTGCTGCCCTGAAACTGAAATTCCTCTCCTTTGCTTATGTTTTGCATTTGGAATATATTTCAAGTGGGGAGGGAGAGTAGAACTCTTCAGCACCAGAGCATGTTATTAATATATGAAATATTAATGCTCTGATGGTCATTTCGAAAAATCCTTTCTTAGTGAACACCTAGAAGCCAAGAGAAAGATATGTGCCAAATTTCAAGTTTGTAGGCTTTATGATTCTGGAGATTTTGTGATGATGCTATCTATCTATCTATCTATCTATCATCTATCTATCTATCTATCTATCTATCTATCTATCTATCTATCTATCTATCTATATCAGGTAAATTTCTAAAACATTTCTCAACTTGAATAAAATTGGAATCATAATTGTTTTTTTCTCTTTTAAGTTAATATGCATGTATTTTCTTTTTTAGTTCAAGAATTAGATGGAAACCTTTCACCTTATGACCATGGAATAACATCGTTAAGAGAGAATAAGGAAGAGTCAATTTGATGTAATAATAAGGGGCTGACTTGAAATTAGGAACCTTTGAGTTCTAGTCCTGCCTAAGGCATGAAAGCCAGTTGGGTGACTTTGGGCCAGTCGCACATTCAGTCCAACCCACCTCACAGGAGTGGTGTTGTGGGGAAAATAGCGGGAGGAAGAACTATTATGTATTCGCCACTTTGAGTTACTTATCAAGTAATACAGGAGGGATAAATACCTAATTTAACTTGTTTGTAGAGAAAAGAATGAGTATGCTTGTACTTCAGGTTCTCTTTGCATTGTATTCTTCCTTTGAATTTCTCAAAGAAGCTCACCTGACTAATCCTCATGAAAATTTATTTAGAAGATAAATCCTTATTTTTAATTAAATCTTACATTTAGTGTTTATTTTTGTTGTGCAGTTTTATTATGTGCATCACTATATTAAGCTATTTGGTATTCTTTTAATGTTTTGTGGAGGCACTTTTTAGGCTGAAGACCAATAACATGTAAGCGGACATAATTCAGTTTATTAGTCAAATTTATATAGCTCATAATAAGTGATGGTACAATAGTAGATCAGGACCATGGCTAAGTACAGCCTTATTGTTGCATGATAATGATAGACGCCTCTCCCCTCCCAAACAATCGTGACATATTATTTAAGAAATAAAAAGCTGCATAATACTGCAAATTAAACAGTCCACTGTTATTCAGTGTAAACATTCTTTAAATATTTTCAGTACAAAAATTCTTAGAATCTGTAATCACAGACATTTATGTTTATAGGTGAGAAAATATAAGCATGTAATTGTCTTAACTGAAAGGCAGATATCCATTTCAAAATTAATCTATAAAACATACATTTTGAAAGCTGTGGTATGTTTTAGAAATCATTGGAGGAAACAAAATTCTGCATTATGTACTATTTAATATTTTAATAAGCATTAAAGAGATTGGAGAAAAAACTTTTAAACAAATGAAAATATTGACAATATATTTCATGAAAATATTCAGAATAATTTTCTCTAGTTTACATTCAGTTAAAAGCAGGTCAAATACACCTTTTGCAGAAATATTGTGTAAAAAACTTTGAAAAAAATTATTTTCCTCTAAAATTCTTTACCACAAATTATTCTTTCTAGCTGCTTCATTCTTCCCAGTGAAATCTGCCTACATTTTCAGTCTTGCTTTGGACAGATATTACACATATTTATTTTGGACCAAGTCTCATTGAAAATTAGTTTTAATTTTGTATGCATGAAATTGTAAAGATGGTCTCGTGCTAAATTTTAAAAGAAAATCTGGTAATAGCCTGAAATCCTGCTTCAAATAATTACTCCCTCCACCCTGTATTTTAAACAACAAAGCAGTAACATCGGGAGTCTGATGGAAGAACAAAATTGCCTGCATGCAAATTTAATCCATTGATAAATTGGCTATAATTTTTGAAAATATGATTTAAATGGCATCCAGAGACTTCTGATGTATTTTTCCTCCTCTGTCTCTTCAAAAGTAGTAGAGCAGTATATAGGAAGCAAATTTTCAGTGAAATTGTTTCTACTTCTATCTTTTCACCTGTTCATTCTCCTTATATTTGTATGATGTACAGGTAGACCTCGAAGTACAATTCTAATGGAGCCTGCCCATTAGGGTCGTAAGTCAAAAAATTCATCAAATCAGACTCAATTTTACAAATTTTTAAAATAAAATTAGTTAATTGAATCAAATGGGTTGTTAAATGAACAAAGCTCTGATTTACTAATGATTTCTGCCATCCTTATCTGAATGGAGAGGCTTTCTCTACTGCTGCTGGCCGCTCATCACCTGTTTCTGGTGCAACCTTCAGCTCAGGAACTAAATTGCCACCAAGCAGGCTTCCAGAGCTCTCTGCTTGCAGCTGCTTTAAAAATAAATTACTTGCTGCTAGTCAGCTCAAGTGTTTCTCAGCTGCTGCCCCAAGTGGGGTAGGAAAGGAATTTATACCGTGTTTCTCCAACAATACAGCCTCCACCAATAGGAAGGCCCAGCATGATTTCTAGGCATGAGGTGAAATTAAGCCCCGCCCCCAAAATTTAGGCCTATTTAATCCATACGTTTCCCTGCCATTTCTCACATCATTCGTTAAAACTACATGAGGTGAAGAGAAATGGGGAAGGGGAGGGAGAAAACTTGCCTTTAGGAGCATCCTGCAGGTAGCCTAGGCTAGAATACCCCAATCTACTACCGGTAGAACATTGGTCGATAGAAGCTCCCTGAAGGCAGAGTCACCAGCCACTTCTATCGGCCGGTAGAAGCGGCCTTGGGACGAGCACCCACGCGCACTCCTCTCGCCACGAAGTCATTTTTATCAGCTGATGGAAGCTCCCCAAAGGCAGAGTCTCCAGCCGCTTCGGGGCGAGGCGTGGTTGCCCACGGAGCACTCCTGACAGGAGCGCCCCACGCACATTCCCCTTGCCATGAAGCCGTTTTTATCAGCCGATAGAAGCTCCCCAAAGGCAGAGTCACCAGCCACTTCTATTGGCTGTTAGAAGCGGCCTCGGTGAGCACCCACGTGCAGTCCCCTCGCCACGAAGCTGTTTCTATCAGCTGGTAGAAGTGGCGAGGGGAGTGTGCATGGGGTGCTCACCCTGAGGCTGCTTCTACCAGCTGATAGAAGTGGTTGGTGACTCTGCCTTTGGTGAGCTTCCATCGGCCAATAGAAATGGCTTCGTGGCGAGGGGAGTGTGTGTGGGGTGCTCGCCCTGAGACCTCTGCCGGCCAATAGAAGTGGCTGGTGACTTCGATCAGCCGATAGAAACAGCTTCGTGGGGAGGGGAGTGTCCGTGTGGCGCTCGCCCTGAGGCTGCTTCTACCGGCTGATAGAAGCGGCTGGTGACTCTGCCTTCGGGGAGCTTCCATTGGCCGATAGAAGCATCCTTGTGGAGAGGTGAGTGTGCATGGGACACTCTAGGTTGGGGTGCGTGTGGGGGAGGAAATTAATTCACCCCCGAAAAGACGTCCTAGCCTTTTTTTCGGGGCTCAAAAAAAATAAGACCTGGCCTTATTTTATGAGAAACATGGTAGAACTCTCAGGTTGACTTGCTTTAAAAAAAAATTACTTGCCTTGCTAAGCTCAAGCCCCTCCAGGCAGCATAAAATAAAAATAAAAACAAACTTGGCGCTGGCTGAAAAAATCACCAGATCTTGTTTGGCCATGTGACCAGGGGGGAAAAACACCCTGAGCGGCTTCAGGAAATGGCATGTTGTAACCTTGAAAAGCAAATGGATGTTACAGAATTAAAAATGGCCACCCCACTGCTGCAGCAGTGACTGAATTCAAGTCACATGGCTACAGAGGCCTCTATTTGGTTGCAATTTTGAATTTCTAAGTAAGCACTGGATAAATTTGTTCTTGTGAAAAATTTTCCTTGTGTAAAGGGTTTATCTTTATTTTTCAGAATCTCTCTGGATTTCTGCTGTACTCAAGTTTTAGTGTAAACTCCTTTCAAAGAAGAAACTATGCAGCGAAGGCACAAAGGATTAAATCCTGGAGTGCTTTTCCTCCTTTCTCAGCTTTATCAAGTTGGATTTAACAACATTCCACCTGTCACGCTTGCAACCTTGGCAGTGAACATTTTCTTTTTTCTACAACCCCTGAAACCTCTGGACAAAGCATGTATTAGTGTCAATTATTGTCTTTACAAAAAAGATTGGCATCGTTTGTATCTTTCAGCATTTCACCATGCAGATGACTGGCATCTATATTTTAATATGGTCTCCTTGCTTTGGAAAGGAATTAAATTGGAGAAAAGGCTTGGAACTATGTGGTTTGGATATATAATTGTACTGTTTTCACTACTTGTGGGAGCTGTATACCTATTTCTGGAAGCTATACTGGCAGAACTTCTTGGTGATCCTTTATATGAACATCACTGTGCTGTTGGTTTTTCTGGTAAGGTGTTCTTTATTATGCTTCCACCTTTTTTATAAGACTATTATTTATTGCAAATGCTAGCTTTTAGGAAATAGATAACATGTATTTAGGAAAGATGAAATCAGCATGTTTTTGAATGATACAATAAAACACAACTTTGTCACTGTTAACATTTTTCTAGTAGTCTCTTATAAAGGAAACTAAAAGACAAACATATGGACTTCCAGGAAAAATGGCAGATTGAAAATGGTTCTGTGAAAAGTGGACCCAAAATATACACGGCTATGAATAGGAAATTGGCAAGTAGATCAGCTGCTTCAACCCTCTTAATAAAGAGAGGACCCTGGAGTGAGGAAGAATCGGGATGGGAATTTGCTGTAATTACTCCAGTCACAAATGAAGCCTTTTTAAAGGACTTGCTAATCATTTTTGGACATTGCCGCCAACTCCTTCAAAGTGACACAATTATAAATAACATGAAGCGTCTTCAAGCCTTACTACAAGAAAGTAAAAACTTAAAAAGATTTTGGCTACAGAAAGCTTTAAACAGATCAAGGGCTCAGAAATTTTTGGAATATTGAATTTTGAATAATATTTTAAAATTAAACTTAAAGAATAAATACATTCTTGTGGGAAAGGAAACCTTTTGCATATTGAAGACATAGCAAGACAAGCAATTTAGAGTGGCATTCAGAGATACCTTTGAGGAATTGCATTAGGATTTGATAATGTCAGCTTTGTTGTGTCTTGGGAACAGTCTGTTTCCCAGAAAAAGATTACAAAAAGATATATGCAACAAAAATTATCTGTGAACAATATCGAGACTTCGAATAGAATTTGTCATTAGAATCAAAAGAAAATGGATGAGGATTTAAAAAATAAGGAAATAAAAATAATCCCAATTTTTCTAGACTTATAAAATAGGCTGTATTGTAAATTGAAACAACTAAATGGATTACAGAGAAATATTGTTCTGTATTTAAGAAAGTAATACATCAGGTTTTTTTACCAGATTTACAACAAGGTGTTATTTTTGTGGTTCTTTTTGGATGTTGATAATCTGGACTGAAAAAGTAGCATATTGGATTTGCATATATTTAATATGGAATTTACCCCTTTCACCACACAATGACTTTGTGTATTCTAATTTGATAGCATTTAAACGGTATCCAGCTGTCTATTACTTAAAGTAATGAAATTTTGTAAACTTGTTTAAAAGATAAAATATGTTAAATTTTAGTCTTTGTTTGCATTAGAATACTGGGATTACTTTATATTATAATGAATGTTTATGTTTTATAGTAGAGATGTGGAATGTTTATTTGAATGTGATATGTGGGGTGGGTTTCTTTGAAATTATTGGCATTTGGAATGGAAAAACGTATATTGAATCTTGAGAGAAATGATCCCTTTTTGTCATATTAGATTTTAGATTTTTGTTTAGACTAGGATATCGGGACCATTTATGCCTTTTAAATGGGAGGTTGCTTGCAGCTAAGAATTGTGAGATATATTAATCTTATTTTAGAACTCTATTTAAACTTTTTAGTGATAACTGGATTGAAAAAGATGTTTCTTATTTGATTTTCCTACTGTTAAGGTATAAGTTATAGAATAGAGAGTTTCATGGTTGTTAATTAAGAAGAGTTGAAAAGGTAATGAAATTGTTTATACTTGTGGCATACCAAGAGCAACAGATCCTCCATATTCTTTAGTTTTTATATTACTTGAGAAGTCTGCTTGATGTGATCTTTTTTCTTTATTTTTATATAGGAGTGCTATTTGCTTTGAAAGTTCTTAATAACTATTACCATCCAGGGGGATCAACCAATATTATGGGCCTGAATGTATCCAATAAATACTCCTGTTGGTTGGAACTTCTAGCAATCCATGTATTAAATCCACGGTAAGTCTGCTGTCAGTCATTTAGAATTTGAATTACTTTGTATAAATGTATCTAGACATCACTGTAATGAATAATAGTTACATATCAACAAGTTCTCATCCAATCCGAATTGTGCTTTTTAACAAAAAATGTTTATTATAGTGAAAATAGGGGATAGAAGAAGAATTTGATCAAAGTTTTTTTTTAAGGCTTGGCATATGTGCAGAGAGTTTGTGCGTGATAATAGATAGGTTTTGCTAATATGATACATATGCCACGTAGTTAAACAATAAGTATATTGCATTACCAATTTACCATGGTTTATAAATCACTGCCTCATTTCATGCAGCATATTCATAATCAAACATTATTTTAGTGAGATACATAGAACTATGTCTGTATATTAATATTAAAAGTTTTATTTAAACAGAAGCAACTGCTCCTTCCTAAACAGGAAATGGTGTTTTTCAAACAAATCCTCATTTCTCTCTTACAATTATTGGGAATATGGAAACAATATGATTTAAGCACTAGGAATAGCAAGCTCCCTTCATTTTAGGTGGGGATGCGAGATAATCATTCCCCTATAATATCTTGCTATGGTAATTTGTCAGTTGAAGTTAGCTTTAAGAGTAGTCATGTTGTAATCTGAAAAGGTTTTTTTTTCTATATTGGCATACCTTTTAAAATAAAAATTAACTTCAAAGATTAGAATCAATCTTATCTACAGTTAGCATTTATTTCTTCAGGGTCTATGTTTTGCTTTAGATTGTAATTTTTAAAAATATACCTTTGATACTTGAGAATTCTGAAAGTATAAATAGAAAGATAATTCCACCCTTTTAGCTCTTTATGATCTAAATAAAGAATTTGGATATGAGTGCAATTTAGTGCAAAATGAATTATTTTGGATCATAAAAAATAGGGCATTATTTTAGATCATTATTTCCCAAAATTTTTGAGATAGTGAAGTGCATGTCTCCTTTGAATATATTAAACTCTTAAAATTTTAAATATGTCCAATGGAGTGAAGGTTAATGAGGTTACAGAAAGTTTCTAATCAGAAACAATACATCTCACAGAAAATTGTTTTCATTTTAGGAGTTCTTTTGCAGGACATCTGGCAGGTATTCTTGTTGGCCTAATGTACACCATGGGACCCCTGAAGATTTTCATGACAGCATGCACAGGTAATAATGACCCTAGAACTTCCGAAGCATTGCTGTTCAATATAACTTTAAAGTGATTATACATTGTATTTCATAACTTTAGAATTATGCCATATGGTGCTTACATTCTATATATATGATTTGATATTTCTGTACATTTCTGATAAAATTAAGTTTGCTATAATATTGGATTTTATGGGGGTGAGGGTTCATTTCCCAAGTTTGTGGGTTGGTTTCCAAACTCTTCGTTACCAGGCTAGATAAAATCTTCAGCAAAGTTTAAGGCAGGGGTGTCAAACTCACATCATCATAGCAGCATCATGTGACATATCAGGACTCCACCCCCCTTTGTTAAACCATGCATGGCCCACACATGACACATTCAGCCTTTAGGTCAGAAGTTTGACAACCCTAATTTAGGGGGTATCCATGTTCTTCTGTTTATAAGGGTTTCAGGTGTGGGTATGTCAATTGAGGATCCTGTGATGGGTCAACTGTGAGTCATCAGTGAGTCTTGTGATTACCTGATGTAATCTCCTAATCACAAAACCCATCACTAGACTCACTGATGACTCAGCTAATCCATCACAAGACCCTCATTTGACATACCCACATCTGAAGCCCTTATAATCTGAAGAACATGGACATCCCCTAAACTCTGCTGAAGATGTTACCTACCCTGGTAATGAAATGTTTTGAAACCAACCCACAAACTTGGAGAACTCATCCTACAACCAAGCTATAGGTGTTTGCAACTATTGGATTTTATTTTAATGTTTAATGCATAATGTACCTATTATGAGTGGATGGCAAACAAATTGGTGTAAATACAGACAAATCAATCAACAAATTTGATGATTAAATAATGTACAATGTAAGTTTTCTACTTTGCTTATAGGACAAAGAAAGAGAAAGACTTAAAATCGTTCATAAGTCATTTGTTGATGAAGGTGTGCCACTGCCTCTGCCCATGATAGTAGGAATAACTGCTATAGATGATTTTTCATAGAGGCGGTCCTTGACTTACAGCCACAATGGAGCGAAGAACTGTGATTGTAAGTCAAGGCACCATTTGACAAGTTTCAATTTTATTCTTGTATTTATGGTGGTCATAAAGTAAGTAATCCTGGTCATTAAGCAAACCATATCAGCAAGTAAATCCAGCATATATTGTACAACTGGTATTTTTTACTGTTTTCTGCTGGAAAAAGGCAAAAAAGTAGCAAATAACAGTCATATGACTTGTACCAGTTTTAGCTTTGAGAATGGATCATAAGTAGCTTTTTTTTGGTCTGTTGTAACTTTGAACAATTGTTAAACAACTGATCATAAATTGAGCACTATCTGTAATCTACAGAATGAGCTCCTTTGAAAATTATATTCTTGCATATGATGATCTTTTGAGCAGCACAGAAGGAAATTACATACTTTTAAATGGAAATAACTTGTGCATTAGTTGTGTCCTTTTGAGCAAGCTTGAATTAAGATTACTCTCAATAGCCATGAGACATTTTCCACAGTTTATTCCAAAGGTTATGCCAGTGCTTAACGCTTCATTGTGTTATTTCCATTCTGGAATTGGTATGATCAAATTAAAAAGCCAGATAATAAATAAGATAATATATATCCCAATAGTTATCTATTGCTGTATATCCATTCAGATATGCTGTTATAGGAAAATATATTCATTTAAAATTTAATTGTATTTAAAATTAAAGCAACAAATTTGGTGAATGTCAGGTAAGAATCAAAACAAATATAATTTGGCATAAAACTTGTTAACTTTTTAAATAACAGTATGATAATTTATATGTTTATAAATACTCATCATAATTTTATTTCTAGGTGGCCATGTATTTCCAACTGGCTTTTCAGAACAAAGAAACAATTACAGAACAGGCAAGTAGTTTGGATTATAATCTTACCGGTTTTTATCTCAGAGAAAATTTTGTTGTACTCAGTAGGATTTACCTTGTGTCAATTGGTATAGATTAATACTATCTGTTGGTAAAAAAATAATTCACATCTTATTTCTTTTCTATTATAGTTTTAATATATTCACAAGTCTGTTCATATTCTTTAATATTTCAGTTTTGCAGGAAATGTGTTCGGTAGGATTGAATCCTTGTTTATATTGACATTTATTGCTCTTCCTCTTAAAATATGTCTTGCATGACTCTTAATTTAAGCTGAGCATCCACACAGATTTTAAAAGAAAATTTAAAAAACTGTTGATAAATAGGACGGGATGGGAAAGAGCTGAATTTAACCTTTCAGTAGGTTAATAGACAGCAGTCCAGGTTTATTTATTGAACCCCACAAATGCATCTTATACTGTATAACGTTAGATTCTCAATTCAAAGAGAATCTCAATTCAAAGAGTCAGTTTTCAAAAAAGCTGTTTTTTATTCTCAGTCAGGCCAATAGTTTTTGTACTTTTGAGGGGATAGACACATATAGGGTTTTTTTTTCTTTAAGGATGATGGCTTCCTAATCCAAAACAAGCTGGTTAACAATATTCCCAATCAGTTATCCTCTGTTTGTGCTCTCTGGGGACTGAGGGAATTATAATCCAGTTATCATGTGAACCATAGAAGCCTGTTTTACAATATAGAAGTGAATCTTCGTAGCATAAGATACTATTATTTATTACAAGGCACATATTTTACATGCAGTTTATATTGCCTGTTATTAATATATAGTTCTGTGCTTCAGATTTCTTTCATAATATTTATGAATTAAAAGAGGCAAAAATTGAATAGAACATCAACATGTTATACAGTGAAATATCAGCTAAATAGATTTCAGTGAAGAAGACATTAAATGAAAATGACTTCTGTTGCATTTGTTACTTTACATTAATGTAAATGTAGAAATTTTATAATATTTATAATAATTATGCAATGATGTAATTGTTTCCATTTTGTAACACTATTGCTTATGGATAATCAGGAATCAATTATACCTAATCATTACAACAGTTTGCTTTGTTAAAACAAGATTGTACTAGACATTTATATCTGTGGTCTCTTTCTGTACAGGGAATTTTAGATACTCAGGTAGCCCATTCTATCCACCAAACAACTATGATATGTATACTGGTGGACTCACCGAGGAAGAACAATTTGAAAGAGCAGTAAGTAACAGCTTGAGAGAAAGAGGTAAGGCAGAACAGCTGTAAAGTGAATGGCATGCCATAAAATAAATGCATCTCTCTTTTTAGGATGAGAAGCATACTTAATAACTTTTCTTTTTCTCTTAAAACTGAGACTATCCATTTCCTTCCATGGATGCAAGTTCTTATTGCTCCTTATTTCAAAAGATCATCAAAATAATACTAGAAACCCCCTGAAAACTTGATCCACTTTTTTTATCGACATGGGACAGCTGTTATATAGCTTCTAATCTAGGTTGAACTATTTCTATGATGTATTCCATCCAGTGGGCAGTCAGAAAAGTGACTTTACCAAGAGCTTTGTACTGCAAGAAGTGTCATCTGCACAGAGCTTAAGAATCTATATATACTCTAAAATAACACAGTCTCTCCCTCAGTGACACACACACCTTCAAGACAGCTGCCTTAAGACTTGGGAATTTGGCCATGCCTTGCTGCCTCACTGGTGTACACTTATGGAGGAGTGTAGGTAGTTTGCTCAGAGTCACATAGTGGGTGGACATGGAGCAGTCTGCACATGAAAATGAGGGCTGGGGCAATCATGGGAGATAGTCCTGATGCCTACTTAAGAGGGCATTTCCCAAATAGCAGCAAAGAATTGCGGCATGGGCAGTTTTTGGGGCCCCACGTAACACCATTACTCCGTGAGCTGCATTAGCTGCCGGTCTACTTCTGGGTGCAATTCAAGGTGTTGGTAATCACCTTTAAAGCCCTTCATGGTATGTGCCAGACTATGAGGAACCATCTCATCCCAATGGGATTGGTCTGCTCCACCCATGCCAGCAAGGGAGGCATGCTGCAGGCTCCATTGGCCTGGGTATTCCAGCTAGCAGGATCCAAGAGAAGGGCCTTCTCTGCCATTGCACCTGCTCTTTGGAACATCTTGTCCCTCAGAGTGAAGTCAGCTCCAACCCTCCTGACCCTTCTGTAAGAGAGCCTAAAGACCTGCCTCTGGGGTTCCAATGGGGGGAGTATCACCGTGGAGGTGGTTGATAGTTAACAATAGATCCCACCTCCTCCCATTCTTCTCCTACTCTCTCCATCTTTTAATTGGGCCACGGTATTTGGTTCTTTATAGTATTTTATTTATGTTTTTTTTAGTTTTGGTATAGCTTTTATCTTTTTAGATAGTCTGCTCCACAGAGTTACAATAGTTAAGATGGGTAGCCAATACATTTTACATAGAAATAAATAGACATAGAAATTCAGAGCTGTTAGTCTTAATGGTAATACAGTCTGTCAACACTGCATTACGTGAGAGAGAGAGCACCACTCACTGCTGCCTAGACATCAGAACAATTTGACAGCCTTGAATGTAGTTACTAGTTCTTTAACAGATTTCTTACATTGGGATGATATATACTTCATTTATTTTATATCTAAAAAGGGGTTTTGGCTAATGTCTGTGCCTCCTGCTTAATGAACAACAGTTTGAGATATAGCATGCAGATGGATAAATGGGCACCAAAAGAAAGACTGGTTAAAGATATTTGCCTTATTCAGAGTGAGTAGGAGATGACAATAGTGGTATGGGCAGTGAGGAGAAGGAGGAATCCTTGCTTGAGATAGGGGCCTGGAAAAGATAACCAAGAAATCACTTTCCAATAGTAAGTTTGCTACTGGACAAGAAGCTGCTGCTATTGTGCTGCCCATCCATTAAAAACCTACCAGTAATAGTTTATGTGCTTTGCAGATGTCTACACAGAGCTGTTGTTACTCATATTGATTTTGTAGCATTAGCAGTAATGGCAAACTCTTTATGTTTCTATAGATGAGGTTTTGTAGCCAGAAGGAAAAGGGGAATCTTGTTTTCCTCTACTCTGCTATTTGTATAATATTTGATTATAACTACAGTTGTGTGAGGTGACTACTCTCAGACTATCTGAAATAATAACACATCCATTTTAAGTGTCTGGAAGTTTTAGAGGTTATGTGGACAACATTTGTGTCTCTGTCTCTCTCTCGCTCTCGCTCTGTGTGTGTGTGTGTGTGTGTGTGTGTATGTATGTATGTATGTATGTTTTCTTAAGTTTTCGCGGGTACTTACATGTATGGTATTCAGCTTTGTTCGGATATTTTCCCACGTCATTATAGTTGTGCTTTTAAAGTTGTAGCAACGTTTCGACAGAATCTCATCTGCCATCATCAGGCTTCTGGCACACACACACACACACACACACACACATATATATATATATATATATACACATCCATCCATCCCACTGAAAACATTTCTTTTCTGCATAATTCGGGACATTCCCATTCAATAGCTGATTGTACTCTCTCAGTTTTTCACCTAATAGAATGCAAGTATTTAAAACTTGTGCATATCCTCCAGTTCTTGGCCAGGATGCAGGAAGTGCCAAGTGCTGCCTCTTACATTGTGTGTTCAATAAAGGTTTTAAATAGCTCTGGATGCTCATTAGTTTGTGTTCCCAGGAAATACAGTGACTTATGATTGGCTACTGTTTACAAAGCCACAGCTGTGTTAGTTTATTTCACGCAAGAAAATTGCCACAGAAAGTCAGAAAATTGTGATGCTAATAATATGTATTGTTATCACTAAGAAAAAAATATGTCATAATTAGGGTATCTCTAGTCAGTACAAACAAATAACTAGAAACAGATGAATGCTGAACACCCTGTGTGGAGAGGCAAGCCTAAGAGTTTGTATGTGTAATTAAAACAAGATATTTACTTACATTGTAGAACATACATTTTACAAATTTTGATAAAAATAAAACTTCATACCTCATTCTTCGCATTGTCAAATTTTGTTTTGGTAAAGATATCCAGAGTCATCATTGTTATAATTAACTGATTAAAATGAAATAAATAAAAACAGAAATATATTTATCTCTTCATCATGATGCATCTTGCAAAATCATTTAAGGATAATAAAACACTATGTAATCACCTCGACCACATAATATAAATTGTGTAAGATAGCAAAAAAGTCTGAGTTGTTGCTTCAGTGCAGGAACTCTAGTGAAAAAAGTTTTAAATATAATGTGAGAAAGCATAAAACAGCATTTGATATTCTTAATAATTCTTAATATTACTACATCTAGAATAAAAAACATAAAAATTAAATTTCAAATAGTATTTAATTTTTCAGTTACAAGGGTAAATATATTACTATGCCTTTGGTTCCTTCCTCCCAAATATTTGGCAAACCAACTTTTAACACAAAGTTTTCATTTATCCTTGACTGCAAATTTTTGAAAGTTCGCTTTTTATTATCCACAGCACAGTGTTTGGGGTCACTATCACTTGAAAGCAAACTAGTTTGGCAGGTTTTCTTGTTGTGTTGAGCTGCAAAATCTTTATAACCACTGGAAATCTGAACTTTACTTTGAATTGGCATAGAAAATCTTTTATTATGGTTGTCATAACCATCTATTAGATTATGTGATGAGATACATCTATGTACAAGTGCCCATTCAATGCCAAGAATACTTTTTAGAAAAATGTATAATTTGACAATGCAAAAAACTGCCTATGACATAGAAAAGCTCTAATTAGAAAAACACTTAATTATCATCTTCCGATAAGATGTGCTCTGTTTCCTGCCCCATATAATAAAACTACTAAGGCCTAGATCAGTACTATTGTCAAAGAATTGATAAATAAAATAATATTCTCTATTAAAATTATTATAAAGGTATATGAGAAGTTATGTAATTTTGTGTTAAAAATGTTTCTCATTTTGGCATCTTCCAGATGCGTTAATTCATTTATAGTTCCTAAAAGCATTTTTAATCTGTAGAAACCTTACTGCTGATAATTTAGGTATATGTCTCATTCAGAATTTACTGTTCCTTATGAAGACTCTTAAAATTTGTGTTAATATATAGTTGCAATCATGTGATTGTCATTTTGCAACCTTCCCTGCCAGCTTCACCAGAAAGTCAATGGGAACGGAAGGTCACAAGTTGTAAAATTCCTCTACTCATGCACCACCCTCCAGCCCCTCTGTGTCTACATGGGCCATTTGCATACCCTTGCATTCCTTCCAGTCAAAGAGATGATATTTCCTCAAATCAGTAATTTAGGTTATAATTGTGTTTTATTTTTCATTCTTTGAGATTAAAATAGGTTGATACTGAAGCCTGTGAGGGGGGCATAAATAGAATAAAGAGTATATACTATAGTACTATACTGTAGTTTGTATGTATATTCTGTGCCGTGTTTCCTCATTGCATATGTGCATCTTTTCATTTCTTTTGCTTCTTCTTACTTGCATCCAAACTGCAAACTCCAAAAGAGTGATTGGTCATGTATTCTTTTTATTATATGCAGAAGAGCTTTCTGAATTTGGGCAACTGAAATGATGTCTTGGTGTTACAAGTGATTCAAGTTGAACTTGATTCCAGCTGACTTCAAAGCTTACTTTGTAGGGATTTTGTCAGGAATATAGAATTGATTTGCCACTGCCTTTCTGCAAGCTATTTTTTTCAACTTCCCTATCTAGCCTGCAGCCCTGGTATTCCCTGGAAGCACCAACCAAACACTAACCAAGCTCAACTCTGCTTAATTTTCAAGTTTAGATGAAGTCATCCAGCTTCTACAGTCTGCTGAGGCCCACCTGAATTATCAAAAATAATACAAATAAGTATTTAAAATTATAATTTTGAATTATATGCCCAGGTGAATACATTAATTGGAAAAAGAAAGCAAGAGATGCTTTTGTTATATATAAACATTTTCTTGGCTTTATTTTGCACCTGTGGTTTGGCTTCTTTCCTTGTCAGCTCAGTTTCTTCTTTAAGAACAAAGTTGCTTATTTTTTCACAATGCAACAGCCTCCCAAGTTCTTAATATTTCAAAGCAATATTGCTTACACTGGTTAGAAATTTTGGAAATCACTCTTCCAGTCTACCTGACAGATACAAGACTTCAGATAAGTGCTCTTACACGTGTCTTAATATTGCTAGGTTTTGCTATTGAAGAATCCTTTTTAAATGTATTCATTTATTAAGAAATGTAAATGGCCACCCATCTTAAATAAATAGCCCTTGGTAGTTAGCAACTATTTACAAAAAAAAAAGTTAAAATACTCCAAAGTAAAGTACCAAGGCACCATATAGCAAGTTTACAAACTTGCCCTAATGCCCAGGGGAAAAAGTCAAGTCACAATGGCCTTCTAGAAAATCCAAATTAGGGACCTCTGAATCTCAGGGAGGACGCTGTTGCATAGGATAAACTTTATGGAAAAGAGAAGACACTTACACATTTCCTCTATTCCTTTGATGATTATAACTTACGATGATTTGCACATCAATTAATTTCTATACAGATTGCATCCAAATTTGGACATGTATTAGCTCTTCTACTTGCAATGCATATATTGTATATTTTGAGCTGAAAAATATTTCATTTTTTTTCAAATTCTCATTCTTAATAAGGATGGATATACATTGTAGCTCTACAGTGGTCTCTTCTGGGTGCCTTTCAGATATTTTTTGACTACTATTTCCATTCCAATCTTGTATTCTGTGGGTGATAAGAATTTCAGCCTAACTTCTAAAGAATCATAAATTGGGAAAACTTTTCTAGAAATACCAAACCATACAATTTTTGAGAATACCCAGGAGATCTTTTTAAGCCATCAATGTATTTTAAAATTCTTAATTTAAATATCAATCATTTGTAAATATATTTCATTTCCAGATTGCAAAGTTAAAAGTATGTTTCTGTGCTTTTTCAAGCTGACTAAATCCTATTATGAATCAGAGTTAGAATGTTTGTTACATTGCTGATCTTTCCAGAAAAATCCTTTGCTGCATAAACCACATAATAGCATGTTTAAATTGTGAATTCAATGGTGGATTAGTATAAAAAGTGTCTCTCTGTGTGTATTCATCCTTTTCACTCTATTCTGCATTAGATGAAATCCAGAGTGACATAGAAAATGCTAGATACTTGCAAATAATCCCTGGGCTTCAAATAAGGCAGACAATAAACAAGTCTATAATAGAGTTACAGCTTCCGTAGACCCCATCTGTTTCAAAATAGCCCTAATTCTGCTTACTATGCGGAATGTTTTGTTGACTGGGGTTTGGCCTACTTTCTCTAATGTGCTGCCTGTGAACCTCTGGAGACATCTGCTGGAAGAGGTGAAGCAGGACCTGAGATAGAATTCCTAACTTACTGGAACAGTAACTCTTAATTTGTTTAAAAGCTATAAAAAATGTCTCCTATATGCTAAATGTATGCTAGTTTTTGTTATTTATTTACTCAGAAGGATAGTTTAATTCTTTTGAAAAAAATAAGAGTATTTCTGAGACAATTACTGGTGATGAGTGCCATCACCAGTCTATCTTAATATGTTCTCCATTTTTGCTTCCACATTATGGTCAAGATTACTGACCATTTGGCAGTTTGATTCCTACTGGCTCAAGGTTGACTTGGCCTTCCATCCTTCTGAGGTCAGTAAAATGAGGACCCAGATTGTTGGGGGCAATATGTTGATTCTGTAAACTGCTTTGAGACAGCTGTAAAGCACCATGAAGTGGTATATAAGTCTAAATGTTATTGCTACATTGCAATTTAGTTAGCAATTTCTGTTGATTTCTTTTTTCAAAATAACAAATAAAAACAAACTTGTATGACCAAAAAAAAAAACCAGTTTCATTGTTTCCTATGGAAATGCCTTAAAACAATAGAAAAATGTTATTCCTGAGAACACAATCCCCAGTTTGGGCTTCTGAATACAGAAGAAAAGCACTGTGTGTAGATGTTTCACTATATGCATAAATTTTGGATTATATCCACAGATTGGAAGTTTCAAATAAATGTAGATCATATTGTAAAAGGAATATTACCTTAGAATTCCAAGAGTTAGATATCCATATTTCATTTCAAGTGATAAAACCCATGTACTTCGCAGTTTTATATGTTAACTAATAGAAATAAATATGCCTTGATATAATGTTATGAATGTATAGTTTTTTGTTTGTTTGTTTGGTCCCACAGGCAGCAATACAAGGCATTACACCAGTGAAAGGAGGCCATATGGCTTCTGGCTTTCACCAGAAGAATTATCAGCTGAGGAACTCAGAAGGCAGAGGCTTAATAGATTTGAGAGGTGGCAGTAGTCTTAAAGTATATATATATAAAAAGGGCTCTTCGTAGCTGTCCAAACATGGTGAATATTTTTCATTTAAGCCATTTCTATTTAACAAAATATATTTCATGAAGACCATCTGAAGTGAGTGAAAAAGATGAGCCTGCTTGGCACATAGACTACCAAATTTAAAACTGAAATGCAAAAATGCAAACTAAACATCTTTAAAAAATTAACTACACCATCTAAAATTCTATAGCTACCTTATATATATTAGTTTTTTTCAATGAATAGCTTTTGGTATTGTAAGAATCTCATTTTATAAACTTTACTAACTTGAATAAAAGTTTACAGAATAAAAATTAAAATTAAACATAGATTTGGTCAGATCATTAAAATGCATGACCCATGATTACAGTACTTTTATGATCTCCAGAAATTACTGAAATTGAATACAATGATTTACTATGGAAATGCTTTTCTACAAGTTGCACATTTAGAATATGACAACATCCTACAATTTTTAGTATAAGATGAGAAAGCAATGGCATAAGAAGTACATGTAGCTATTATTGTAGCTGACTAATTATTTTTGTGTACAACAATATGTATTTGTATTTTTTTATTATGTTAATGAAACCAAAGTTTGAAAACTTTGAATTCTTCCATCAGTCTCATTTCAAGTAGATTTTGGAATTCACACTAATTTGGGTGCAGTCCATTAAGCCTTATTAATTTTAGTTTATAAGAAACAGCAGTATTATAGCTTCCTACATTTTTAATTATTACTGAACTTGTAAATATAAATTATTTTTATGTTCATCCCATATCTTACTCCCTTTCCCTGGAATATTCCTCATGGCCTTCCCAAAATTGAGAAACTAATATTTTGTGGAAGTGAGGGGGGAAAGCAAATTGGGAGTTTTGTCACAGCCATAAAATATTACATGTAATATTTATCATTGGACATTATGATATGTGATTTAACTTGTTATGATGAAAAAAACTCTCCACACTTCACATTTCAGTTTAGATCAAGTATTTTTTCTTAAACCATTGTAATTTTTTTTACTTAAGATCACTCAGTGCCTTTCCCAATAAAGTGTATAATAATAATCATATTTTAAGTTTCTTGAATATTTTTTGAATTTTTATAATATTTTCAATGTTCATAGTACTGTTGTCTTTGTACAGTACTTTGTTAATAAACCATCAGATGAGCTGCACCTGAGCTGTTGTTGCAACTTGGTTTTTTACATCTTATTTACTGTCTAAACCAAGACAGATGATCTCATGCTGATTTTAAGCTTCCGAACAGGAACCAGAATTGATAATGGCTCTTTCAAAATATGCTTCAAAGATATGTACAGAGGCCATACTTTTGGGCAGTGAGCTTTGGACTCCTCAGGGCAGGCTCATGGAGGACCATCCTACCAAGAAGCAATGAGGATTTGAATGAACTTCCTCAATGCTTCCATTGTCCATTGTGTTTTTAGATTTTAACATCAGACAAAAATTATTTTAAAATAAACGTTAAAATAAAATATTCCTCCCTACCCTCCAACCTCACTGTTAGGAAAAGTTCAAATTTTATTATTTTAAAAGCAATACAATTATTTAAAAATCCTTGAATCCTAATTAAAAAGGAATTTTAATTAATTTTAAGTATAAAATAGGAATTATATTGAGTATTGGTAGATTTTCAGTTTAAAGTTAAACTGTAAAACAGCCATGAAACACTTTGCATTTAAAGTAAAAGATAGTACTTCAGTAACTGCCAACGCACTGATAGTTGAAGTTACCATGGGAACAGTACATTTCTCATGATACTGGTGTATAAGGCTAGAATAAATTGTTAAAAATGCACAAACATCAAGGCGGACTTCATTTTGGATGAAAACAATATGCAAGAATTTTTTTTTTACATTTGTTGTGAGATATAAGTTTTTTTCATGTCCTTATATTGCTACTGTTTTGCAAAATAAGGTTCAGGAATTTATTCCTCTCTATCCTCCAACCTCACTGTTGGAAAAGATTTATTCTCAGGATAAAAAAAACCTTGATATTGCAATATTCTCTTTATTGATTGTATAATGTTATAAAATGTCAAATGAAAGTTCTGTGATTTGAATATGTTGCTGTTAATTGGTGATATGTTAATGCATTTAATAAAAAAGTGGATATATTACCAATTGAGACTAATATGATTAAGTCCATTCCGTATTACATGTATATTTACTTTAAGCAAATACTATCAAAAGTCAGAAATTTTTCAGTGTAGTTAAAAAGCAAAGAATTGAGTATTTAAATGTTGTTTCTGTTTTCTGAATGGAAGGACAAGGTAAATTTTGTCTTTTTGTGGCATTTAGCCTTCTGTACCAGGCTTCATACATGCAGAAATGTGAGATGCCACAGTATTTATATATATATCCACTTGTATAATAGCTTTGGGCACCGTGTTACATATTTTATCAAATTGTTTATTCAGTGTTCCTGCTTTCCCTTTCTAGGTAAATGGGAAATCTATAGGATTTATCTTTTAAAAGAAATATATCACTTGCTTTTTCCTGAGCACTATTGGTTGGAGCTGTGAGGTAGAAGAGTTATGTAGGACTGGGGAAAAAAATCCCGAAAAGGAACAGGAAGATTCTAAATTAGTTACAGGAAACATTGGAAGCTGGTGTTTCCACTGAATAGATGTCATAAATTATGAACTGGAAAGATGCCCTAACCTCCACATCTGCCTTGAATAGTATGTAGACCAAGTCTGCAGAAGGAATTAATATTATGCTTTGTGTTGTAAAATGAATAACTTCTGTACACTTCCATTGAAATATACAATTTGTCCAGGAGAGCTTACATTTTTGGGCATGTAACTGCATGGTCTCCAAAATGAAAATGTTACTTTTCAGGAAAGGTCCAGCTTTTAATATATAAGTAGCCCTGTTACTGAGATGATATTAATATCTACTGTATATTAGTTTACAGTGAATCTTGAATTGCTTAAGATACTTAAAACTAAAACTAAAATATTTTATGGAATTAACTTAAAAACTATTGAAAATTACACCTGAATTAATCAGGATACTTTGTCATACTTCTGCTTTAGAACTACCCACAAAGCAATGTCTACCTCCATTTTTTTAAATTATGAGATGAAAAGGGTGAGAACAACGAATTATTGTGTCTAAACAAACCTATTGCCACATTTTGCTCAGAAAAACTTTGGTTTTGTTTTGTCCAAGCCAGACACTTAATAATTTCTAAGATAATGAATATTGACTACATATAGTCCTTGATTTACTACCATCTTTGACCTCAAAATTTCCGTTGCTAAGTGAGACATTAAGTTGTGCCCCATTTCATGATCTTTTTTGCCAATGTTGTTAAGTGAATCATTGCAGTTGTTATGTGAATCATGTAGCTGTTAAATAAATCTGAATCCCCCATTGACTTTGCTTGTTGGAAGTCAGCTGGGAAGCTTAAAAATAGTGATCAGATGACTATAAATAGATGCCAGTTATCAAGTGCCCAAATTTTGGTACGTGACCAAAGCGTTTTTGCAATGATCATAATATGAAAACCAGTTATAAGTCACTTTTTTCAGTGCCGTTGTAACTTTGGTCATTAAACAAGTGGTGATGAGTAAAGAATTGCCTGTATTGCAGTATTACATTTCCAGTGTTCCTTAAAAGTGTAAAATTTGATAAATTTTCTCTTAAACAAGGTAGACAATTTATCACTGGTATATATGCAGATTCAAAATACTATAAATACATAGATGTATCACTCAGGTACTGAAAAGACAAGATAAATAAACCTTTCTCTGCTTTCTCACTGCTGCAGAAAAATAAATATTTTAAGTGAAGTGGTATTTCTAGTAGAAGGTTTTCTGTCTGGAAAAACAAACCTAACTAAAGTAGGAAAGAAAATGGTTATAAGTCAATTGATGGTATCACTTGGATTCCCCAAACTTAAATAAAATTACAAATGAGTTAAGAAAAACTACAAAGCTGGTATTCATCTCTCATCTACTGCAGTTGATTTATACAGTTCTTTACTTCCTGGATGTCATTTAAATACACCCTTTTACAACTCATAATTCCTGAGACAGTTTGTAAATGTAATACTGACACAGAGCACCAAGATGAGAAAAAATAGGTTTATTTCTGTTCAAGAAGTGTTCAGTATCCACTAGGCATATTTCATGCAAACCTGACATCTGCCGATATTTCGGCGTTGTTCTTGTTGATCTTTGATAGTCCCTGAGATAGGGGATGATAAAAACTGTGTGTCATTGTTCACAGTAGCTAGCCAGAAACTGTATTCATTCATGAAAAAGTGACATGTTCCTTGTCGACCCTGGCATTCAATAAAGGGTGCTGATCGGAAGTCCTCCAGGCAGCTTCCAGGTGACATGAGAGACTGTCCACCTCCTTGATCACCAGATCCTGTATGCTGAAAAAAAAGAAAAGAAAAATATCACCTATGCCAGCCAATCATACATACTCGGAGATAATTGCTTTTTGGGATTTCTAATCCACATTGCACTTTGAAGCTACATTTATTTCTAATACATTTATTTCATACATTTCTAATCCACATTGCACTTAGAAGCTAATTTAATTCAGGCTCAGAGCACTGATGCTTAATACATATTGGGCACTTTTGGCCTTTCCCATTTATTCTTAGTACTGATCCTGAATGGAATCCTAATTCGGACTGGAGCCAGTGGAAATGTAGCAGTAGTAATTCTGATTAGTGTACACTTCTCACTAAATGCAGTACAGTAGGTTCATTATATAGAATACCAAGCAGTCAATAAAACTGCATTGTTGTGAGCAGACAGAGGGGAAAAAAAACCCAAATAGCTGTTTATAGAGAAAATCCATCGTTTTCTAATTGTCATTACTGCTTCTATACGTTTTGTAAGTATCTTAGATATTTCAGTACATTGATCTCATAATTGATCTGTAACTGATTATGGTAGACTGGAAAACTTGGAAATAAACAGTATTGGAATTTTTACATTCCTATAAAATATAGTTCTCACTTAACAACTGCTGTCTTTAGCAACTTTTTAAAGTAATAACAGCATTGAAAAGATAACACTGAATCCACTCCTTGCTTTTACAACTATTGCAGGGTACTTGTGATCACATGATCATGATTTGTGCACATCACAACCAGCAGACATAATCATTGCAGCATGTGGTCATGATTGCCCTTTGCACATTTCATAGCCAGCTTCCAATAAGCAGAACAAATGGAGAACCCAGCAGTAAAATCATAAGTTGCAATCATATGATGTCTCATTTAACTGCAGATGATTCACTTAATGACCATGGCAGAAGTGAAGAAATGTTATCGTCACATGATGTTTCACTGAACAACCATATTGCTTACCAATGGAGTTGCCCCTCCCAATTCTAGTCATTAAGCAAGCACAACCTATAAAACTATTATCCCTCAAACAATGAAATCCAAATGTAAAATAAATCTAGGGCAAAAAAAGCAGTACTATAGTAATAGAATGTATAATTAAATAATATATTGGGGACTTCTCATTGAAAAAAAATGTCTGCTTTAAATTTAGTTTAAAAAAATAATCAAGTTTATTACACTTTTATTGCAGCAATATTTTATAGGAGAAATGTAGAAGTAAATTATTGCAATTCTCATTTTTGAATTAAGGTAGGATAAAAGATTGCTTTATATCTATGGAAATTCTCAATCATGAAGGGCATGGCATGGTTGTCCAAAAGATGTTTTTCAAAAGGCAACTGGATTTTTTTGGCTTTTTCCTTTGAAAATATTTCACTTCTTATCCAAGAAGCTTCTTAAGTTCTGAACTGAAATTTTTTCTTGGATGAGAAGTGAAACATTTTCAAGAAAAAACCCCCCAAGAAACTCCAGTTGCCTTTTGAAAAGCATCTTTGGTTTAGGCTACTTTATGGTTTACTTCAGAGTTAATAGTCATATATTTATCAGATAGGATCCAACTGTAAAGTAAAATACTGTGATGATTTTAAGAGTACTCTGAAAGCAAGTAACATCTGTTAATGAACAAATGAAAACTGCAGTTATCAGATCAATATAGAAATTCATACTGGGGATTTTTATGACAGTATTCCATGTTAGAAAGCCTATATGGTGGCTCAATGGTTAGAAAGCAATATTACAGGCTAACTGCCGACTTCCAGGAGTTCGATCCTGACCGCCTCAAGGTTGGCTCATCCTTCCATTCTTCCGAGGTTGGTAAAATGAGGACCCAGATTGTTAGAGGTATATGCTGACTCTGTAAATTGCTTAGAGAGGGTTGTAAGGCATTGTGAAGTGGAATATAAGTCTAAGTGCTAGTGCTAGTTGGATCATGCTAGTATTCAGCCTTACCATTAAGAATGAGTAACCTATCCAAAGACTTCTCCAGTTTGGTGGACAAGAAGGAATGGATTGATCTTGACTATGAACTGCAACAGCTTGGGCAGGAGCTTCACATACTACACATCTACTAATATAGTGCTCTATTTCTTCATCTGAGAGGGGCATCATGGGCAAAGGAGCTGCACTTGAAAGCCAGTAAGATTTATCATTTCGACTTGCATAGTAGCAGACTTGATTGACATTGCAGTAGGTAAAAGGCATAGTGCTAAACACTGGAAGGCAGGATCCAGCCAGACCTAGAAAACAATTGAGATTTAATTACCAATCCAAATGTTAACAATATTAATAACTGCTAGAGTATATTTATTTCTTATCTCACTTCAGTTCTACAAAACCAATAAGTGGTAAGGATTTTTGATGCTAACGTAAATAAAAGCTAACGTGTTCCAGAATAAACAGCTACATGAATCAGACAAATTTTTTTTGCTTATTGTATAGTCTGAATCGTTAGATGTTACATAAACAATTTTATGATGGGAATTTTAGAATAAAGATTATATTTTCATAATGATACACTCCATTTGGAGAAAACAAATGTTAAATGTCAGTTTCAAACGTGAGGTAAGAATCTTCTTGAATCCCTGATGAAAGAGTCCCAGTAGTGTAAATATTTCTGAGATAAATGGACCAACATATGGCACAGACCAAACCAGGTTACAGGTTTTGCTCCTCAAACCACCATGCAAGTTTTGATTGCTGATTTATAAAATTCAGCTAATAGGATACAAAGTGCAACTCCGGTATTTTGAGAAAACATCAAGGATGTTACTATAACAATCCCGTAATTTTGATTATATACAGTAAATTTTGTTATTTATATTTAATTTTTTAAAATGGAAATAATGGCATTTGTCCATAGTAAAACAATTAGACAATTCCATATTTTATATAAATTAAAATCCCACAAGAAACTTAGCTCATTTTAAAATTGTTTGTAGTAACATCAAGATTGTAACATGCTCTCCAAAATCATGCTTACAACTCTACTAATGATTGAAGGTGTGGTCAGGCATGTAAAATTATTGCAAATAAAACTAAAGATGCAACCTTTTGAGCATTCCACCTTAAGCAGGGGCAACCTGATAATAATGAAGGTTCAAGTAGGAGAGCAGAGAGAATAATTATTACATGAAACAAAATGATTCTTCACAAAATAGAAAATAGTCCCTATCCTACATCAGTATAGATGGTAGAACAGCATAGATTCAGATTCACATAGTAGCTTATAAGAAAAAGCCTGATAACTAGTTTCTAAATAAGTTTAACAAATGTCATATATGAAAATGAATGGACAGTCAACTTGTTATTCCTAGTAAGATCAAGTACACCTAATAACTGCGCTTCATAAAGGGATCACATGTTGGAAGCTCCCCAATGTTATTCTAAGAGAAGAATTTCAATTAGATATAATATAATGTGCAATAAAAGGGCAAAATATTACAACTTTTTAAAGTAAAGATATTATAATGCTCACCAAGGTCTTGATTATGGGCTTTCTCCTGCCCTTCAAAATACAGCAGACTGTATCCAGTCCATAATCTTGTCATTCCCTCAGGGCAAAACGGTTCTGTTTCTGACTGACTATGCAAAACAAGCAGGAACCCACTACTCCATGTGGATGCTGATCCTGGTTGCCCTGGAATCCCAGTTTGGCCTGGAGGACCTTAAGGAATGGAGAAAAGGTAGACAGGTAATGACCTACTTAAAAGTTGGCTCCATTTTTTACAAAAATACTTTTCTAGAATTTGTTTGAGAGTGGTTGAGGCATCTATTCCTACACTTGAAATCTCTTTTTCTTTCTTTCTTTCTTTCTTTCTTTCTTTCTTTCTTTCTTTCTTTCTTTCTTTCTTTCTTTCTTTCTTTCTTTCTTTCTTTCTTTCTTTCTTTCTCTTTCCTTCCTTCCTTCCATCCATCTATCATCTGTCTGATCTATCAGCTAGCTATCAATCATTTATTATCTCAGTCTATATCTTATCCTGTCTGTCTGTCTGTCTGTCTGTCTGTCTATCTGTCTGTCTATCTATCTATCTATCTATCTATCTATCTATCTATCTATCTATCTATCTATCTATCTATCTCTGCCTCTCTATATATCATGGGCAATAAGATGGCAATTTTCTTAAACTCACTCAGACATTTGACCTAAAAAATGTAGAGAGCTCAGATTCTGCTCGTACGGGATAGAAACATGAGGATGCAAGTTCAATATTTCCAAGTAAAAAAATCACAATTGCCAATATTTATTATCTAAACATTATCCATTTGCAAAATAAATCTACTCTAAAAGAAGAGCAAATAAAATAGAGTAGAACCTTGTGGCCCTGTGTTTCCTTTTTCTCCCATGTCACCTTGATCACCATCAGGTCCTGCTGGTCCGAGCAAGCCTTCTAGCCCTTGCTCACCTAATGAACCTTCTTCTCCTTTATTTCCTAAAATACATCACATTTATTTGAGAATAGATATAATTCCACACTATGTGTACATAGCTATCGCCTTTCCTGTCTCTAGAACAAGCACCAGACTCCTACTGTGTTGATACTGCAAGCTTTCTGATGACTAAACTTACATTTGGCAATACACTATGGAAATATAACACTTTACATCAGTATTTTTCAAATTTGGCAACTTTAAAATGTGCGGAGTTCAACTCCCAGAATTCCCCAGTGAGCATGGGAAACTCCACATAACTTAAAGTTGCCAAGTTTGAAAAACAGTGCTTTGATGTTAAGTGGAATAAGAAAATTGATTCAGTGGAAGGAAAACACTGTAAAAATTAGTGACATAAAGCTGAAGATAAAATGAAGGTGCACAAACATAGGGATTGGCCAGTCGTAGATAAATATTTTATTTATATATTTATATCCAGCCTTTATTATTTTTACAAATAACTCAAGCTGGAGAACATATCCAAACACACCCTTTCCATCTCCTGTTTTCCCCACAACAGTCCTGTCAGGTGGTTCGAGCTGAGGGGAGAGTGATTAGTCCAAATTCACCCAGTTGGCTTTCATGGCCAAGATGGGACTTGAATTTATAGTCTTTCTAGCCAGATGCCTTAACCACTAGACCAAACTGGCTGTCTTATATATATACTTTGATATGCCCTGTCAGGGAGCTACACATCACTTGTTCAATTACAGGATACTGTGAAATTATTGGGCCTGAAAAGTTTAGCCTTTCTGTGTTAGGGCTTGGGGAAATCTTAGGATACCCATTTTATTCCTTAAATCCATTTCTAAAACAGAAAAGTGACTACTTTGCATTTTCAAGTAATTATTGTGTGTTTCATCACCTATTTTATTCCCTAAGATAACTCTACTCCCAAAACTGGATCTGAAAAAACTTTGACCTTCCACAGTTGGCCTTTCTACCTAAAACAGTAAGATTCTTGAGGCTACACATGAGCATTCTAGAAGTTGTCCAATCCTAACTTGGGAAAATACATAGTAAAGATTTTTTTAGACTCTCCCTCTTCCTTATTACATAGTTTCTGAAGTCATACAATCTTTTACCTGGAGGTCCAGGAAAACCAATTGGCCCTCTTAATCCTACAAAGCCTGGTGGTCCTCGTGGGCCTAATACTCCAGGAGGCCCTGGAATCTTAGGACAAGATGAGTAATCAACTTTTCCAGGTTCTCCTGGATCACCTAAATAAGCAGCATTAAATACCTTATTAAGAGTGCAATAGATATCAGTAAAAAGAAATTCTTCTCAGTATTTGACCCATTATCTTTTATTGTTTTATATTTTATTTATTATTCTTATCTAAAAGTTATTCAATGGAAAGGAAATAAAAATAACAAAGAAATGATCATGAGAAATACATTGTGCTCAAACATTGTGATCAACATGAATTTGTTTCAGCAACAGCATTTAAGGTGAACTGATATTATTGAAAAAGGTAATAGACAGATGGTACAATAATAGTGGTTCCTACATCTGGAGATAAATGAATGGAATTATTAAACCTGAACAAATGTTTGGATAGGGGTTCTTCAGTAAACTCATGCTTTGGTCACCTTACATATGGACTATTGTAGTGTGTTCCACATGCAACTGCCTTTAAAGAACATCAAAAGCTGCATAAATGATTTATGGGCATGTCATAGTACACCCATGTAATACCTCAGATTTATGAATTGCACAATAGGGTTATAGGTGTAATTCAAGGTGTTCACCATGATTTATAAAGGCTTTCATGACATATGACCTGGTTTTCTGAAGACTCAGTACGTGCCACCTGTACTGTCTGCCCATCTTGTTTAAGCTGGCAGGGTTGGTGTGCTTCAAATCAATTGATTAAACTGTGTTCCTTAAACATTGACTGCCTTCTGGAAGAATATTGTCCTCTCCAAGTTATTTTAAATGAACCGTTAAAGTCTAGCTCTCTCCCTAGGCCTTGGGCTAGGATGGATAGCATCACCCTCGAGAATGTGGTTTAGGCAAAAGAGGTGTAATTATTTCGCTCTTTCTTGATGTTCATCATTCTTTTATGATTTGTACTTTTATAAGTCAAGTGTTTAAAAAGTTGATAAATAAACAGCATCACCACACAATATTCTCTCGTTTCCCTCTGTGATTTCCAATCATCATGCAATACCAGGAAAAGGCACAACGTCTTTAAAGAGCTAGGTGCAATCATTTTGTCCCTGTGGAATCCAAAGCACGTTTCCCTAATTATTAACAAAACATTCTACAGTCCTGTTATTTTTTCATTTCTGTGTAGCACCGAGATAAAAATTTACATGTATATAACTTCTTCCAAGGAATTGCCTTTGCTAGTACTTGGCCCTTTCCGCCACAAGTAAAACAGCGAGGGACTAAAAGGTATTTTTCTATGGTCAGGAGAAACGTTATTAGAATATTTTAATTAACAACAGAATGAGATTTGAGGGCAAGTGTGAAATCCACAAGCACTCAAGAAAATACTTTCTAAAATATTCTCATCCTTCTTTAGCTTACCTTCGTAACCTTGTAGATAGAGGACAAGGATCAGATCATGACAGCCATTTCACATGTAGGAAGAAAATCATGGAGACAGAATAATATAGGACAGTGTTCCACAACTTTATCAAGTTCAATCGATCACAATAGAGCGGGAAGGGACCTTGGAGGTCTGCTAGTCCAATCCCCTGTTCAAGCAGGAGACCCTATACCTGTGGCCCCCAACCTTTCCAGCTCAGCATCCCAGTCCAGTGCAGTGGGGGGCATGTGGGGGGCATGTTCATGCACGCGTGCACGGCACGCATGTGCCCTCCACTTTCATGGATGGAGCTTTGAGCATCAGCAGAGGGGGCTTGTGCTTATACACGAAGTTCCAATTGCTCGAATGGCAGGCAGTTGTGCTCACCTGCGAAGCTCCACTTACACAAGCAGAGGGCACTTGTGTTCGCATGTGGAGCTGCACTTGTGCAAATCCACTTGTACAAATCGAACTTCACGCAGGAGCACAAGCACCCTCTGATCACACAAGTGGAGCTTCACATGTGCACACTTGCCCATTTCTCTCACTGCCCAGTTTCAAACAGGCTGTGGCCGGGAAGTGGGCTGCAGCCCAGGGTTGTAGACCCAGTCCTGTACCATTTCAAACAGGTTTTCTTAAAAAGCTCCAGTGGTGAAGCACCTACATCTTATGAAGGCAAGCTGTTTTACTAGTTAATTGTTCTCATTGTTTAAAAGTTTCACCTTAATTCCAGGTTGCTTCTCTCCTTGATTAATTTCCATCCATTATTTCTTGTCTTGCCTTCTGGTGCTTTGGAAAATAAGCTGACCCCATCTTCTTCCTGGCAGCCGCTCAAATGCTGCAATACTGCTATCATGTCACCCCAGCCCTTCTTTTCTCTAGACTGGCCATCACCAATACCTGCAGATATTCATTATATGTTTTTGTCTCTAAGGTTTTAATCATCTTAGTTGATCTAGGATGTTTGGACTTCAACTCCCAGAGTCACTGGCTGAGACATTCTGGGTTGAAGTTCACACATCTTAGAATTGATAAGGTTGAGAAATACAACAAGAATTGCTGTGACTTGAAGTGTGAGCTCAAGATTTTGCTGCCTTAGAAAAAGCATTAAACAGGATTTGCTTCCCATCAATTCAAAGTGATTTAATATCTAAAGTTAGTTAATGCATGCACTCCTGAGAATAAAAATTCAGCAACACTCTTTCTTCCCTGGCAATAAAAATGAAATTATAATAAAATAAATAACAATATGCTTCTCTTTCAGCCAGCTGCTTGAGATGACTCAGCCTAATGACACAGTCGGGCTAATACATCTGGTTTCATCTTTCATTACAACAGTAGGAGAAAAAAATACATAAGTGAGCTATCTAAATTGACTTTGAAGTTTTATCCACATCACTGGATTTAAAATTAGTTTTATTTATTGTAATTTAGCGATCATATAATTTGAATTGTGAATTCAGAACAGTCAATTTAAAAAAAAAATGCCCAACATGTTAAGAGACTTACCCTTTTGGCCCACGGGACCAATTGGCCCCTGAAGACCTTGAGCTCCAGGCTCCCCAGGGACACCAGGTGGTCCTTGCAGACCAGGCTTCCCTCTTAGACCTTAACAATGAGAAAAAAGAGATCAGTGCCACATCTCTACCACTAGAAATTTCTAATTCGAAATTTAAATTTGTGCTAAAGTAATAATTTCATACATACCTTTTGAGCCTTTTCTTCCTTGGTTTCCTGGAAAACCTTTAGTTCCCTGTTTACCACATGGACCAGGAACACCAGGTGAGCCCAAAGTACCAGAGTCCCCTGGATCTCCTTTAATAAGTATAATTTTTCCTGGGGGCCCAGGTTTGCCTGGTGGGCCTGAAATAAAAATTAAAATGATTAGTAACAAATATGAAAATGTTCAATATTTATTTTATATATTTGATTTTTTTTCAATTGCTTACAAGATAATAGGCATAAGAATAAACATGAGTAAGAATACAGGAAATAGATACGAATAAACGGGACAATAGGACAGGAATGGTAGGCATGTTTGTGCGCTTATGCATGCCCCTAACAGACCTCTAAGGAATGGGGTTAAAGGTTAAAGGAGTCGGGGGTTTGAGGATGTAACAGCAGAGTCAGGTAGTGCATTCCAGGCATTGACCACTTTGTTGCTGAAGTCGTACTTTCTGCAGTCAAGTTTGGTGCAGTTTCCATTGAGTTTGTATCGGTTGTGTGCTCTTGTATTGTTACAGTTGAAACTGAAGTAGTAATAGATAATTTTGTATACTACGCTTAAGTCCAACTAGGCAACATAGTTTTAGGTTGTCCAATATTGCGAATATACTTTTGATTTATCAATATAACAACAGAATTTGAATTTTCTATTTACTTACTTACTTACTCACTTACTTACTTATTTACTGAATTTGTATGCCACCCATCTTGGCCCAAGAGTTCACCAACCAGATGTAATAGTGGAATTACATAGAAAGGATTACTGTAAAAGGTTTTGTAAAACTTCTGTGTGCCTAGAGTGCACTATTCTGTTCAGATTATTAAACATTTCTTTAAAGTTCTTGGGCCCAAGTTAAATCTTGCTGGATAATCAGTTTTGCTGTTATAACCAAATGCAAGCAAGCAAGCAATTCATTTGTAACACTGTTTAAAGGCCACCATTGCCCTCAAAGCTTTTCAGTTGCAACACAATAAAAACCCAGTAAAAGACCACTTTTTGATTAGAGTCTTGAACGAGAGGACCCTCTTTAGTTCTAGTATGGATTTTAAAAATGTTCCCTAAGAGCAATTCTGGAAGAGGTCAAATGATTTTAATTGGGCAAATAAATCTACTTTTGCAATTCTGTTATTCAAATACTGCTTTAGAAGTACCTCTAATGCCATCTGAGCCAGCTGGACCTTGGTCTCCTGGAAAGCCACAAGTTCTAATTTCAGGAGGCTGACCCATAAGGCCAGCAGAACCAGGAACACCTGGCTTACCTGCAAGAAAAACAGGATAAAGATAAAATATTAATACTGGCCATATTTTAATACACTTCCTTTCTCCTGTCACATTTACTTGAGAAAAGGTTCGTATTACACATATGTTTTAATTACTATGCAAAAAATGACAGTATAAGAATTCAATAAATTATTACTGCAGCTTTTGAAAGAAACAAAACATTATCAACTGACTATGGAGGTGTAATGCATTTGATTTAATTTACATTATTCATTTACTAAGAATCTCTGATTCTGGAATAGAGACACACAAAATGAGATGCCCCTTCAAACTGTGAGGAAAAGAATAATATGAAATGATGCATTATATAACGACAATAAAGCCATTGTTTATAGAACTACCGGTAAATTATTGAAATCTGGCAAGATAGAATTTTAATAGTGTAGAGCAATGTAGGGTGTCAAAATAAGATCATCCCCAACTGTTTCATCTAACACATTCTGATTTAGAGATCATAATGTGCTTTACATAATTTTCTTTTTTCATATTCCTACGTAACAAGCCAAAACTATACAGTATAACCCATAACCTTACTATGTTCAGGGCTCTTCTGTGTTTCTTTGGTGAAGAGCCCACTGATGTAGTTGGGCTCAGAGGTAGTATTCAGCAGGTTCTGACCAGTTCCGGAGAACCGGTAGCAGAAATTTTGAGTAGTTCAGAGAACCGGCAAGTACCACCTCTGACTGGTCCCACCCCCATCTATTCTCTGCCTCCTGAGTCCCAGCTGATTAGCTAAGTCTTCTTTTGTTGCCCTGCCCAGGAGAACGGAGCTGGAAAGCAGGTTAATAGGGTGGGGAGAGAATGGGGATTTTGCAGTATCTTCCCCTGGAGTGGGGTGGGAATAGAGATTTTACAGTATTCTTCCCCTGCCACGCCCACCAAGCCACACCCATAGAGCTGGTAGTAAAAAAAGATTGAATCCCACCACTGGTTGTGCTTATCAATAAAACATTTTGAGTTTCATCTATCTCCAATCATTCTGGTTTATGATTTAAGTGGGCATTTTTCCCACCTCTTTGGTAATCAGAACAAATGGTGTGTTGTTTTGTTTTTTTAAGAGACCTCTTACTTACCAGGAGGACCTCTTAGACCTTTGTCTCCTCGAGGACCTAGTTGAGTACTTCCTGGAAGTCCAGGTTCTCCTCTGTTACCTTTTGGCCCTTGTTCTCCTAGGCACCCTGGAGGTCCCATTACACTTAAACCTTGATAAGAGAATAATGAGTGAAAGGGAATGAGTTTTGGATTTAATGTCATAAATGATTTATTCTTTTGATTCTATCCAAATGAAGCTATATTTGGTTAATATGTGATTTTTCAGCTTTCCTATTTGGGATATGAAATCCTTCAGTTCTTCCAGACACAACTAAGGTCAATGGATTTTGTAAAGCAACATGGATGAGAGGCTGCTAGTAGAAACTACCATGGATAATTCTGTAATACTACACATATGCACAAAGACTTATTCAGAGTTTTCTCTGGTAATTATTGGTAGCTTTTTTTGTTACATCATGTATATTTCATTCAAAATACAGTTGATTAATTTCTTGCAGTATAATTGTTTTCTTCACTAGATAATCCCGTAAAATATTAACTATTGGGTATTTCTACTAGATTGCATTAGAAGTAACTATTGTCATCAAGAGTCAAGCATCATACATTTATTAAGTGTAAATTGTTTCTTGATATTGCCTTTGATTTTTTTAAAAAATATATAATTTTCATTCTTTACCTGGGGGTCCTGGCAAACCCTTTTGACCTTTTTGTCCATTTATGCCATTTACTCCAGGTGATCCCGATAAGCCTTTAATATTTTGAGAAAAATAGGATGGAGTGAATTCAGGAAAAGAAAATGATCATTTTATAAAAATACAACAAGTAGACAAATGCAAGAAGTAATCAAATGAACAATTTTTCTATCAAAAGTCTAGCAGATGTAAACTTTTTGTTACTTCCAGTAAAATAAACTAATAACATTTTATATTTTTTGTCTATTACCAATCTATTCGCTAGTATTTCACATAAAATATTTAAAATTGAATGGAAGGTTGGCACTAATGATATAAAATATTCTCAGTAACCTTAGTGGTAACTTCCATAAATTATAATTTATGTAATAAAATGTTCCATAATTTTATAGCATTCATGGGGATCTTCAGGACAAAGGTAACAGCAAAGCCAATCTTCTACTCCACTTCATTCTGTGATATCGATCTTTAGGATCTCAAAAGAATTCAGGCCTTTCAGTCACCCTTGAATGACTTGTAATTGATCCTTATAAGTATACCATTCTGTTGCTAAATTCCTTTAATTTGGTTTCATTGAGAAAGAAATACAAGAAGGAAATAATTGTTTATCTTGAGACATTATGCAGAAATGTGGAACTTCCCTAAATTTAGAATTGCTGGCTCAACAGTTTTGATGATTCTTAAATATGTATTTCTATGTTATCTTCCATGCATCCGATGCCACAGACTAGAAGATCTCATTTACATTCTGTGATTTATATTTCTATGATTTATGACATGGTCAGGTTAGGGCTAACTTCAGCAAAAATGTAAGAACTATTAAGATGCCCAAATCTTCATGAATCCAAAGAGATTCATAAGATTTTGGAGATTTTCCTAATGACATCTTTGGATAGTCTACCTAATATCTTATCCATTTGCAGATACCAATCTTTGTTTTGATTGTCTGAAAAGCTAATGAGAAGGCAACTAGAATGCAAATATCTGTGTGGGTATAGCTGACTCATTCTGTATGCTCTTCCTACCTGGAGATGTGTCAGGCTCCCACATACAGAAAGTGAGAGGAGTAGATATCTGGAGATAGTTTTCCACCTCCACCCTATGAAATTGCCTTATCCATCCCAAATCCAATTTTCACTATCCTGGTATTGTTCTATATAGCTGTTAAAACAGAACTCTTTTATGCAACCTTGGAAAGTTGGTATTATTCTGATTAGCTAGATATATTTATTGTTTTATTTTATATTACTTGTGTATATTTTATTATAGCTACTGTTTTATGGTCTTAAAACTGTGCATTTTATATCTTGCATTGTAAATCATTGATTCATTTTAGATTTGATGATATGTAATAACCGAAGAAGTAGGTGTTTGAAATTAACTCAAGACCATATTCTTTCTTCTAACTTGGCCAAATGGGGAAAATGAAAAAATGATAGTGACCCAGTTTGATTATTTTGCACAGGTTTTAATATCATAACACTTGCAAATCTGTTCATTTTGATTTTACTTTTGAAACAAAATTGGGATACCAGTGATTTCATCAAAGTTGTTATCAGGTTTTACTTATCACTTGCAAGCTCAATTTGCTATCATTACTATACTATCATTAATTATTGTTATTTGGGTAGCCAGTGCAGTGATAAGGCATCTTAATGTAATTATAATTATAAAACTCCTACAGTTTTATAATTTGACAATAGCTACAATTAATAATTTGTCTGTGTAGAATGCATATACCTGACCAAATGAAATTGTAAATTCTTCTCAGGTAGATCAGACAGGAAACACAATCAGATCAGCTTATTCTACTTTATTGTAAGGGTACATTAACAACATCTTGCAGTTCTGAAAGTATAACTCTCCTGCCATCTCCTTTACAGCCTGCAAAGTTAGAGAGAGCCCTTTGAGCCTCTTTGTCCACCTATTATGCAGCTGTGGGCTATGTCCTCTCTTATCTGACCATTCCCTAGGCAGCATTTCTTCTTTCCATCTCTCAAGGTCTTTCTCATGTACCATTCTACAAATGATGGAACCTGGATGCACAATCTTTTGTTCCATGGGCAATTAATTTTTTTACAATTTCTTCCACTAAAGATACAAACCTAAGTGGGCTACAGAATAGGTAGGCTACAGATATGTTTTCAAAACATCAGTTTATCCAGTACATTTATATCAACCATCATGTATGCATTTTAATACCATGCTGAGTACTGACATGTGCAATAATAATATTTCTCCACAATATTTACCTTTTCTACCTGGGTTACCAGGTGATCCTGGGAAACCTGGAGTTCCCAAAACACCAGGGTTACCTGGTTCACCTGGAGGTGCTGGAAATCCTGCATCTCCCTGCGCACCTAAAAGAAAATAGACATTTCCCATATTTAAACACTATTTTTTATTCTCTCTCATGTTAGAATACTCTCTAATTTAGCAAGATGGTGATTAGAATCTCTAGAGGTAAGATAAATCTAGGAACGTATTCAGACTAAGCTGGCATTTAGCTGGCCATTCTTAAGGAAGTTCAAGTGCCTGCAGTGGCACGCCAAAAGCTGAAGCAGATTGGACTATCAGTTTGGTTCTTCTGACACAGGCCTTCTGGGACACCTCATACATTCTATCCCACAATACCCATTTTGCACTTAAGGACATTCAAATTTAAAAACCTATTTATCAGTTTAAATTTTCCCATATCATCGCAATATCAAAAAGGACAAAAAAGGAGGCTGACATGTTAATATGCCATTGAACATCCTCTGCAATCATGAAAAGCAATTAAAAATGGATTAAATAGTATGGATTTACACAAAACAAAGCTGATTTTCCTTCATCTAAGGTGAAGAAAGGGACTATATTTTTCACATGGCTGTGAAGTAAAATTGTGAATAAGTATGAATAAATTACATTTCTATTAGTGTCTTCTTCTTAGTCTTATTCCATTATTCTTGTGATCACTTTCATTGCCCTGTCTATCATCATACGTCACAATATTTGTTTTAATATTGATGCAATTTTTCTTTAGATCTTTCTCACCTGGGAATCCAGGTATTCCTGAGTTTCCAGGCAACCCTTTGGAACCCTGTTTTCCTGGTTCTCCTCGAAGACCTAATGTACCTTGGTCTCCAGGTAATCCAGGAAATCCTTAAACACTCACAAAGCAATAAAATGTTAATGCAAACATTTTTCAGTAGAATGTGCTTATTGAATTCTCTTTCTAGACAGATGGATATTGCAATTGCCATCCAAATCTAACTATGCAGAGTAATTCTGAATTACAATGAAAATGTTCTAATAACCATACTATTTATAGTCTATAGGTAAGATAATACCCTTTAAAAATACATTTGTATTTCTAAAAAAATTACAATAACTAAAAGCAGATAAAATTCAGTGCATCCCTGTAATGGTTAAAAAGGGAAGCAAGAAAAACAGATAATAAAAGTACATATGAATAATTCCTTAATATATCTACTACACATTAATATATTTATCTCGTATAAGCTGTTAACCTTCCCTGATACACATAAGTTATAAGATCAGACCATGAACTTGAGAAGACTAACTTTAGTTTGACAAAAAATTCAGTTAGAGTGGTGAATCAACTCGTACATCAAATTGCATATCAAATTGTTCTCAACTTGGCAAAATGCCAATAATTTTGGTATCAAAATTCCAACGTAGTTATAGTTTTCCATTTTTTAACTATAGACATTCTGGAGGCGGCAGTCATCAAAAATTCTTGCTCGAGCTGAATTGTCAAAAATGTATATAAGGCAATATCAACCCAGTGTTGGAAGTGTGAAAGGGGAGAGGGGGCTTCTTATTATGCATGGTTTCTTGTGAAAAAGTAAAAAGTAGAAAGTTGAGTGCAAATTTATCCAAAGATGTAAAAGATACTCCAGATGAATTATTTTTATTGGCTTTACGGATGCCAAACTAGAAAAGAAATTAATATTGTATTTACCAACTGTGGTGAGATTATTGTCTAAAAATAATTAAAAACAACATCACCTGGTAATCCTTGAACTCCTATAGGGCCTTTCTTGCCAGGTTCCCCATAATGAGTGGCTGGGTCACCTCTGCTACCTGGAAACAGTGGGAGTTGATGTTACAATCAAAAGCAATCTTCACCTATCAACTGAGCAAATAGATCGCTTTTCTTTGCATTTGTCATGCCAATATCCACCCTTCGGGCTATGCAGGACGTTTCATTTTTATAACAACATTACAAAAAACTTGAAGTCATTTTACATAATTTAACAAAATGATCCCCCCCCCCCAAAAAAAAATCTGACTCTCTCTGTAACTAAAAGAAAATGAACATTATTTTTTTAAAACCTTTCTCTATAGCATTAGTTGTGTGAGAAGAAATTTGAGCCATTTTCTACCACTTCTTAAGCACCATGAATTGGATCCGCTTTTCAATATAGCTAATTCTTTTGACAAATACTTCTATATAAATTCATTTCCCCCAGCTCCACAAAACTGGATATAGTAAGAAAGCTCATGTAATTTTTCTGAAATTCTGTATTATTATAATATGATTGTTAATACTTGGTACCAGTACTTTCTCAGCTGAAAATCAAGAATAATTTCCAGACACTCAGCCTAACTCATTCTCTATCTGAAGTTTTTCTGCAGGTAAGCAGTTTGTTTCTTTCAAAAAGGTATCATAGTAAATAACAGAACTTACTATATTATTTAAACTAGTAGCAAAGAAGGGTTTTTAATTCCTTACTTTTCTCCATTATTTTTAGTTGTTTTGAAATTATGCAATTAACTACTGGAACTTATTTTTCTGTGATCATAAGATGGAATCATGTAATTTTTAATCATATAATGAATAAATTGAACAAGATACTTTTTACCCATTAACTTTTCTTTTTACAGAGGCATGAGACTGGGCTATCAATCAACTGTGTGTTTTATTATGTAATCTTATTGGTTTGCTAGGAATGAAATACCATTGCGTCCAACGTGGATTGCTTTTAAATACATCTGTAGAACATTTCTTTGTCCTCGGTTCAAAATAATTCATTAACCTTATGATTAAGATGTTAATTTATGTGCTTCTAAATCATTTTAATTCAAATTAACTTATCAGCATTTTTTCTGAAAACTATTTTTCAAAACAGTTATTCTGCCCATAATGCCTTTCTTAACGTATATATATGCCTATTCAAAGAACAAGTGATTTTCAGTCATTAATTATTGGCATTATTATTGTCTCCGTACCTTTTGATCCTTTTTGGCCACCTAATCCTGGATGTCCAGGAGGACCTGATGGTCCCTGTGCACCCTGAAAAGAAAAAAAAGGTGTCATTTATTTTATTTATTTATATTTATTTATTTGTATCCTGTCTTTATTATTTTTACTAAATCAAGGTGGCCAGCATGTTCGACACACCTTCCTTTTCCTATTTTTCCCCAAACAACAATCCTGAGAGGTGGGTTGGGCTGAACAACCATGACTAGCCCTTGGTCAGCCGGTGGGTTTTCATGGCTTCCCCATCCCCTACTTTCTAGCCTAATGTCTTAGCCACTAGACCAAACTGGCTCTTACTGTACATGAAATATGAAATTCTGCTGGTTCTAGGAAATCAGTTAAGCATCATACATGCATCCAGACATGATCATTGATACGGGAAGTAGGTGCTAATGATCTCATTGGGAGCCAAATACTACATAAACAACAAAGATGTAAATAAAATAATGATAAATAATTCTAGTTCTTCCTCTATACTAGTGTCTCCTTTCTAATTTGTACTGTTTGGGTAGGAAATATTTGTCTTGGGTCATGTAAGGAGGAGAATTTTATCCAATATGTTGCCCAGGAATTTTACTAGAACTAGAAGCTGATCTTCCCAGAGTCCTCAGCAATTGTGTATGCAGCAATTCCTAAGAAATACAACTTTTTAGTATAAACAAGTGAGGAATTTCTTTAAAACAACAACAACAACATTGTGCCTTACTGTAGAATCCCATCTAGTTTCTCCAAAATATTCTCTATTACTTCAGTTTACCTGTATTTTTTTTCTGGATACTTGGCTGTGCTTCCCAGCAAAGTACTGGGCGACAATTTCCATCACTATATTTCTAAAATGGTCTCTGGATTCACTAAGTGGCTCAGAAGCATTGTTGGAAAAACTTGCAGGTAGTCCCTGACTTATGACTGGTTGATTAATTACCATTCAAAATTATGACAGTTACTGATGACCAGTTCTCGAAGTTCTGACCACCATATCATTTGGGACACAGGGCAACAAACTTGTGCTTGCATGTGACTGCAGCATCCTATGGTCATATACACATTTTGTGTATTTTTGCCATTTTCTGGCAAAAAAAGCCTATTGCATAAGCTGAATTCAGACTTGCGACCATGTGATTTACTTAATGACTACTTGATTACATTACAACCACCTGATTCACTCATGACCATGGTAAATTGAGTTCAGTCACCTAGTCATTTGACTTACAATCACAACAATTTATGACCACAATTCTGGTTGTAGTTGTAAGTGAAGGATTACCTGTATTCTTGAGGCTCATACTTTACAACTTGCCACTTCCATTAAAATCAGATCGCACTCGTGGAGCTGTTACTAAGCACACTCGCAGGGATTGGGACTCTTACTAATTATTTGATATAATAGATATTTGGGGAAGTATTGCCCAGGCAGATTAGAGAAAATGTGTGATTTTCTGGAGCGGTGGCCCAGAGGTGGAACTCTTGCCTCACAATCAGGAGGCTGTGAGTTCATATGATGACCCAGGGTGGGATACAAAACAAACACAGTCACAGAAAACAGTTGAAGCCCCTTTTATTCCTTCACTTTGCTTCCAAGTCCAAATATCTTTGATGGAAGACAAAAAAACTCCCACACAAAGAGTTACACGGAAAAGGAAAAAAGCAACACAAACCAGGCAAGATAAGGGCTGGAGGATGTCCACAGATAACACATGCTGGGATGGACACCAAACTCAGAGAGGAACTATAAACTAGAGATTTTTACACGCTTTGTTTCCAGCGTTCGCCAGTATGCAGGTCCATACTCTTATTCAGTTGTCACAGCTGCAGCCCATGAAGAGGAACAAGGCCCTCTCCTCCTGAGTAGACCCTTATCCTCTCCTCCCTGCGTGCCCTAGAATGGAGAGAGGATGGGCCTGGGTCCTCCTCTGACCGCTCAGTCGGCCTCTGCCCTTCCCCAGCTTCCTCCACAACCTACGGAGCCACACTTCCACTCCCTGTCGACTGTTCCTCCTCTCCCTCAGAGTCAGTCTCCACCAGGGGCATGACAGTTCAGTAGAGGCAGATATTTTTTCTCTCTGGGCACACTGAGAATATATCTCCTGAAAAAACTTCACATTGGCACCAGGAAGGGCATCTGGCCAGTAAATACTCTGCTCCATTAACTTGCCCAGACTCCACCCTGCAAGGGATTATGGGGTCATTAAAAGAGGATGATGATGATGTATGATTGCATGGTCCATGAAAATTTAATAGAAAATAGTCATAAAAATTTAAAGGTCCCACAAGACAGCCATAGGTGAATGTTATGTCCCACTGCTTCTCCCCTTGGATTCTAGGAGCTAAGAAAAAGCAGCAGTATTTTATTATTACAGCGTACTACAGAACTATATTACAATTTCATACATCGTACATATGAAAATACACATGATGTCCAACTCTACAGCAAGTACAAAAATAAATGTGGTATAACTGTCTTCTGGGCATACCTGATCGCCTTTTTGTCCTTGGAAACCAATTATCCCTGTCACACCTGGAGGCCCTGGGGGACCTTGCGGGCCCTGGGAACCAGAGTCTCCAGCATCGCCCGGCTGGCCCTTTTGAGTGCCTGGAGCTGCTTGTTTGCCTGGTGGTCCCGGGATTCCTCTGAATCCAACATTGCCTTTATCACCTGAAATTATTTCACATGCATTGCAATATCAAATAATAAAATAAATGTTCTTAACACGAATCTTACTCAGCATTCATATTTTTACTTGATTTTGTACATTAATTATAGGCATATTTTATATTGGATTTTACTCTAGATTTTACTGGCTTTTGTGGGGGGTTTTTTGTGTTGTTTCATGTAACTCCAAATAAAGGGAAGGCACAAAATCATACCACTGAAATTTGGTAACTGCACTAAATTTTGGCAACATTGTCTTGGGTTTCTCAGGAGCATAATTAGGGTGCTGAGGGCAAATGCAGCTTTCAGGTTCTCAGTTTGTACTGTTTTAACTGATATATATGTAATGAAAAGGCTTAATGTTATTTTTGCACCTTGATGCCTCAATAATTTAGTTTCTCTCAAAAGTACAATATCTTGACAATGTTGGATGGGGACATGGAGGTGGAAAAATGTCTTGAGGCAGCCTTATTAATATATGTACCTAATTTGTATGCTTACCTTGGACCCCTGGTAATCCCTCATCACCAGGAAAGCCTAGTTCTCCATTTTGTCCTTTTACTTGCAAGATACTGATGCTGCCCTTGTCTCCTGGTAATCCCAGTTCACCTTCAAAATAGAATGTATGCAACAATTTACTCACAATATAATTGCTCGAAGCATACCCACCTCTGCCTCTGAGATCTCCAGGGTGATATAAATCTTAATTGTGCGAAGTAAATACCACATTTTAGATATGTGTTTATTTGACGCTTAAAGGACAAAAGCATCAGAATTCTGAAAACATTTTGATTCACTTGGTAAACAATAAAGATGAACCATTGATGTTCACAGGAAGCAATAACATGCATTGTTACTTCATGAAACAAATTCCACCAACATCACATTATAGGGAGCTTGCATTGTAATGTAACAAAACACATTTTTCTCATGTTGATGAAATCTCTGTATTATATGGACACCCTACATCAATCCTATATCAGCAACAAGAATGAAGAACCCACTAGATGAAATTCTAATCCCTTATTTTTTAAAAAAGCTACCCAACCAACCATCCAAACTTTTTGCTTAACTTCTTAAGGCAGTATGACAATGTGTAATCAGGACTACATCATACATTGAATGCCGTCATTCTAGAATAATAAGATACTTATCTTTAATTCAATTAAAATAATTTAATTGACAGTTTGTTTAGTGACCATTTAAAATTAGAAAGACACTGAAAAAAGTGATATGATCATTTTTCACACTTATGACCATTATAGCATCCCCACAGTCATGTGATTTACATTCGGATGCTTGACCACTGACTCACATTTATGACAGTTGCAATGTCTAGGAGTCATGTGATCCCCTTTTGCGACTTCTGATGGGTTTCCCTATTAACTTTGCTTGTCAGAAGGTCGCAAAAGGAGACAACTGTGTTATTAATTTAACAACTGCAGTGATTCACTTACCAAATGTGGCAAGAAAAGTCATAAAAAAGGACAACAAATTTGTCACCTAGCTATTTTCGGATAAATTGTGGTTATAAGTTGATGGTTTTCTGTATATGCTACCTAGAGTCATATACAATTGATTCAGACAGCCATATATATTTGAGAGATGAGAGATAAGTGAGAGAGAAAAGTTATTCATAAGCCAATATTATTCTACATACCGTTGGAACCCTTTCTCCCAAATTCTCCAGGGGGACCAGACAGACCAGTTTTTCCTTCCACTCCTTTTACACCTGGTTCTCCCATTTCTCCTGCATTTCCTGGGAAGCCCGGGAAACCTTGCATGCCTTGGGATCCTTTGTCTCCTGGACAGAACATTGAGACAAAGGGGACCATTAAGTTATACAATACCGACGTATCGCCTGGACTCCACAACATATTGACTTATGGCTTGTCCAACCCAAGTTCCATATTTTTAGACTCTGAAACCCCAAATCAACCAGCCCATATCCATTTTACATATGTGTTATACATGATGTCTACATTTAAACCTTTTTATTAGAGTAATATACACCTTTTGTTCCTGGAAGACCTGGCAGTCCATTTTCCCCTGAAAATCCTGGATCTCCTCGTAAGCCTGGAAAGCCAGGTGGTCCTAGGATCCCAGGGGCTCCTGGCAATCCTTTCATTCCGGCTGGACCTGGTGCTCCCATATCTCCTTGAGGACCTTTAACACCCTTCAATCCTAATGGGAAAATACAGCCAGCAATATATTATTCCATTCTTTCCAATGCCACATTTAAAAACGGAATTCTTCACTCACCACATCTAGATATCCCAGAACTGGAGGAGGCAAAGGAAAGCAGACAAGATAGGGAAAATCACAATGGTTTAGGACAACTTTTAAAACTTTTACAAGCAAAATTTGAAATTCTTGAGCCAAGTATTTAGAACTATAGTGATGTTGCTTCCTTCTATAAGGAAAGTATTCCTGGCAATCCAATTATTTCTTTATTGATTATATAATTTTCCAGCAACCAAAATGACACCTATATTCATTGATGAAGTATACAGAAATCAAATTGACTATATTATTGGTACAAGGAGGTGGAAGATCTAACAAAACAATGCCAGCAAATCTTCAGAATGATATAGTAGCCAACTGAGTGGAAGAGGTCATTCTACATACTAATAATACCCAAAACAGACTTAAAAGTGTGCCAATAATCACACAATATCCTTACTTGTCATCTAACACAGATTACAGTGCTACCTGGAAAAGGAGACGCCAATGTCCAAATTGGTTTTAGAAAGGGCCAGCTATAAGAAACATCACTAATGCATGTTGGATAACAGTGAAAGTCAAACAATGCTAGAATGATGTCAACTGTGCTTCATTGATTATAGAAAGGCCTTTGATTTTGTTGATCATATCAAACTGTGGAATATGCTGATAATAATAGGAATTCCATTGTCTTTATACCTATACAAATCTATACAAAAGTCAGGAAGGCACAGTCTGGTACACAGGGTAGCCATATGGTGAAACAGACTGGCTTCAAAATGGCAAAAGAGTGAAACAAAAAGCTATATACTTTCATTTTATATATTTAACCTATTTTGTAGAGTATATGTTGATAGAAGTTGGATTAGAGGAAGATGAGCATGGTTTTAAAACTGGAGAAACAGCAATACCTGAGCTATGCTGATACTACTCTGATAGCTGAAAATGCAATTGATCTGCAAGTTCTAGTAAAGATAGTCACTGAAAATGAGAAAGTCAATAAGAAAAACAAAAAAAAGTTTGCATATAAAAACCAAACCTGTGAGAAAAGAGACAGCCACCAGTCTTAGATCTGACAATGAAGTTACTGAAGTGATAGATAGGACAGTTCTGCCTTTTAGAATTGGCAATTAACAATAAAGAATTCAGCAGTAAAAAATATACTATGGACTAGCACTTAGCACAGTTCCAATGAAAACCTTGGGGAACAAGTTCTCAAATTCTCAAAATACTAATAACCAGGCTCAAATTATTCTACTTCAGATCAATTAGATAAAGATATAGCTCTCTGAAGAAGGCTCTAATGCTGGGAAAGAGTGGGAAAAAAGGATGACCAGAATCAAGGTTGATGGAATTAGTTGAAATGATGATGGGTGCACCATGGAAGATCTGAAGGATCATACTAGTATAGATTGTCCTTGAGAAAATCTATCTTCGTGGACGCTGACACACATGCATGTATACAGTATGTACATACGCATATACGTGTGTGTGTGTATAATATATATGTAATGTATGTATGTATGTATGTATGTATGTATAGTATATGTGTTTCTCCTGTCCTGTATGAAGGACAGGAGAAATTTAGATATTGCTTTCCTGATACAGAAATTTGGGAGGGCACAGCCATAGGGAAATTGTCCAATGGGAAGATCTGGTGGCCTCCAATCCAAACTGAAGTCCAAAAGGTTTTATTCCAGATAGGATTTTCTTTAAACCAGTTTAGAATTGAAAGCACAGCACAAGAACAACATAAATGGTATATATTGATTTTGTTCCCTATGAATGTAGAAATATCACTGCTACTTTGACAGTGCACACCATGATAACATTGCAGATGCAGCAATGTTAGTATGCACTTGACTCTGTGTACATGTGTGTAGAAACACTCACCTATACATGCATGTAGAGACAATGTAGGGTGATGATGATAAATGTGTGACTATGCATGCTTACACCTGCATGTATATAAACAAGTTTGAGAAGATTTGCATCCCCATTGTATATTTTGGCTTGTTGAACATTTCCCTGCCTCACAAAAACTGGGAAAGAAAGTTAAATGTTCATGTACATAAATGTTTAAATTAGTTTGGATTTATCTCTAATCTTGACATAGCCTTCAATTAAACAACAACTTAAAAATCAATTTTAAGAAAGAAATTCTCAGTGATTTGAAGAGACAAGAATTTCCATGATATGCAGTCTGAAATTCATGTTTTCTAAAAAACTCTATTCTTGAGATATGCAGTAACCATTGACCACTTATTGAAGATTGCTGTTTAATGCTATTGATAGATTATTGCTTTGAAGGCCAAACAGGAACTTGGATGAAGGCTGGCTACAACCTAAAGCCAACTGTCCGATGAGTCCAAATAGTAGGTATTAGTCGCATAGGGAAGATAATCACTTAAGATGTATGTGATTTTGTTTTCACCCATATTAAATTGTGATGTGTTCACCTTTAGGTCCTTGTGCTCCAAAAGAGCCTGATGGTCCTGGTAGCCCCTCCAATATTTTCTCACAGGCCAGGCCAGGTGATCCAGGATAACCCATCACTCCTGTGTCACCTTTTTGGCCTCGGACACCTTTAGCTCCTGGAAGTCCTGGTGTGCCAGGTTGCCCTGCAAACAGATTATTACTTTTATAAGTTGGGGGAGGGGGGGACGACACAAACAAATATCTCACATTCCTAGAAAAGTTGAAAATTAACATGCTTAAGGTGGTAGATGTCATGGCATTCCTGGATTTTATATCTGGTATTTGCTACAAAGTGACATTGAAAAAAATAGAAAAATCTTAATTATGTCTGCATACTTTCAGATAATATTGCCCTTTCCTGAATTTAAATCCTACTTGCTATAAAATAGATAAAAATATAACAGAAATTGACTTTATTTGTACAGCCTTGCTCCACAGTTGTATTGGTCCCTCTAGAAATATTTTGATAATGATGCTAATGCACCAATTTGTCACAAAACAGATTCATCAATGAATCTGTAGCTTCGGGAAATCATACCTACTTAAAATAACTGAAGCATGGAATTTCTGAGAACAGAACAATAGGAACTAAAAACTCATTTATCTCTCAGATCTTAAATGTACTGATGTGGTCCATTCAGTCCTACTGATAAAGATAGAAGGAAAGACTGTGAAACTACTGTAGAAAATGGAATTTGCTATTAATATTTTAAGTCTTATGATGTTACAGTCCTCATGGGCAATCAGAATGTGGCAAGATGCATCACTTCTATTTGATTCAGACTAAAAATGACAGTAACATTTTACAATCCTTCTCTCATTCATAAGATACTTTGGTTTTTACACTTCTTTTTTGTTATCTACTTCCTTTTTCTTATATTTTGATTGATGTGCTTACTGAATTAACTGTGATTAAACTGCTCCATATTTTATAGAAAAGGAAATGCAAGTGGATGTGTTTCTGAACAGGAGACAGAAAGTAGAAATAAGAAGGACCACCTGGGTAATTTAAAAAGACTGCTATGTCTTCCCATTTTCCTTCTTTATTTCTATTAACTCTTTTTAAAAACTGTTTCCTCCCCAATAATTTTGCATCCTTCAGCTTTTGATACTACGAATTTGTTTTATTTATTTTTACCACCACCACTCTAGCAAATAAAATATAACTGATGAAATTCAAGTACATCTTTAGCATGGAAGAATGGACCTCTCACCTGGAAGCCCAGGAAAACCAGGGTCACCTCTTAGGCCTGGCAAACCTGGTAGCCCTGGAAGACCACTTTTGCCTGGAGTACCTGGAGGGCTGTAGGTAGCGTCACCTGGAACACCTTTTGGACTTGGAAGCCCAGGAAAGCCTGGCAATCCAGGAGGGCCATCCAGACTTGAACCTTGTTCACCTGGATCACCTGGATCACCAGTCTCACCCCTTAAACCTTAGAATAATGACATATAGATTACACGGGTTAATGGTTAATTCATTTCAGTATGTTCACTTTCTAATGAAACAATATGCAAAATAAGAATATAGAAAAACTTCCTAATGAAACAGTATACAAAATAAGAATACAGAAAACATGGCTCAAAATATATACCTAGCAATATCAATAGCACTTAGACTTATATACTGCTTCACAGAGATTTACAGCTAAGTGGCTTAAAAGGTCAGCATACTGCCCCCAACAATATGGCTCCTCATTTTACCAATCTTGGAAGGATGGAAGGCTGAGTCAACCTTGAGCTAGTCAGGATCGAACTGCCAAACTTCTGGCAGCTGGCAGTCAGCAGAATTAGCCTGCAATATTGCGTTCTAACCATTGCATTGCCACAGTCAGTCTTCTGAGGTCTATTGAGATTGTGAATGCAGTAACCTTTCAGATACGTTACAAGTCCCTTAATTCTCAAGCCTGGTACATTGGGAAAGTCTTATGTTGTAGCCTAAGATACTGTACTTCAAAATTTTGTTTTTGTAGTAAATTATCAGAATAGGGAGGGAGGGAGGGAGGGAGAATGAAGGAAGGATTACAAAATACAAAGACCTGCAAATAGAAGTAGAATGATTGTGGCAAAAGAAAGCAAAGACAGTACCAGTAGTAATAGGCACTTTAGGTGCAGCCCCCAAACAACTGGAGCATCTCTTGAATATGATCAGCATTGACAAAATCATCATCAGTCAATTTCAAAAGGCCGCTTTATTTGGAAAGCTTACATTCTGCTATGTAATCTTTAACACTATCAAACAACATTTGTCTATCCCAGGTCCTGGAGAAGAACTTGATAGGTGAATAAATTGCCAAATTCAGTCTAAACATGTGGCTGACTGTACAAGCAACCATAACAATAACAAATGGTAAACATTTTCATGAGATTCTGATGTAATTTTTTTATACTTAAGTATTTGAAATATTTTTTTAAATAAGATCAATTCTTCAAGAGGCTATGCAAAATGATTGCAGCTTCATGATTTAAAATTAGAATGGAATTTTCTTTGGAAAGGACATGAACCAAAGGCCAAATAGTACATGGCCAAAGGCAACTATTTCTGTTGGATCACCACTGGTTGATTTTGGTGCAAGGAAAGGGGTTTTAAAACTCTTAATAACAGAATAACATATAATCCCAAAGATCCCAGTTAATTCTAGATATATTTTGAAAGCATAAGGTAGAAACCAGTTTTCCTATTTTCTTTACATTTTCAGACATTATAATAAAAAACAGAAATAGTTTAAAAGGGATGCTGCTGCAATTTGCATATCTCAGTGATGGAGAGATATATCACTGCTGTAATTCTGTCCTAAATATGATTTTAATTAATGATTTTTCAGCATTCAGGAATCTCTATGCATTTATGTTTCAGTGTTGCATCAGCTACAGGGGGTAAAGCAATAATAATGCAGTGTAGACTGGCTGTTGTACATTTCCATCTTTAATAAATAATATATTTGGACTTTCTCACTTACCTTCTGGACCAGGATTGCCTGATGTTCCTAGTCTACCCTTCTGGCCTTTGAAACCATCAAAACCATTGGGTCCAGGTGGGCCAGGTGGGCCTCTTAACCCTTTTGGACCTGAACGTACAAAAATAATGCAGGGCTGCATGACTGGATTTTAAACACTTTTAAACATTCTATAAAGAAAATTGAAAGTGAACTCTAGAAAACTAAAGAAAGGCTGCAGGTAACCGACTACAATAGATAAATCCATCTAAAAATTGTTTTGTTGGCTGTTGCAGACAATTCATCCAACAATCTTTTTCATTTGGATTTCTATATATTAAAATGACTGTCACTCAAGCTGAACAATACACATTTAACATTAAGAAGTCACAAATTGGGAATTATCTAATAACTAAAGCTGCATTTGGTTCTTTCCATTGTATTTATGTTCACATACTTCTTAAGGGAGAAACTTTTTATACTTTTTTCCTTGCATTTTTCTGTCTTTTCTCATAGTTTGTATTTATTTTATTGTTCTGTTCACTACTTTTAATAACATTATTTTTAAAAAAAAATCATTTCAATATTTCTGTTTTAATACTTGGTACTTGTCCAAAAGCATCAGTGCAAGCAATCAAATCACCCTAACATTCAGTTGTTACAAGGATGTTTTGAAATTATACAGGAGACAAATTGCATCTCACTTTTCTAGAAGGATATGATAGAATTTTATAGTGAATCAAAGAGAATCAAAAAGAAAATATATCTGAGACTCATTATTAGTCCTTTAGAAAGAATCTTCATGCTAATCAACTACATGTATGTCTGTGAACATAGTATGTGTGTGTATGCATATATACAAATATATCTGCTTGTATATATACTGTATATCATCACTAAACTCACAGTCAATACAAAATGTCACAGTTCTACACAGAATAGCACAAAATAGTTTATCCAACTTTTTATTTTGGACCTTACCTTTCTATTTCTGCTTTCATTCTAAAATGTTTTGCTACACTTTAATTTTGCACGAGTCTAAATTGTAAAGGGCTGTTTATCTTTTTTAAATGAAGATAAATAACTTGATTTAGCAAAAAGAATTATTCTATTTTTGTGGCCATACCTGGTATACCTTTAAATCCTGGTATACCTGGATTCCCAGGATATGCTCTTCCACTTGGAAGAGTAATGCCTAAAATAGAAAAAAATTATGTGAGTCTCAACTCCCAATCTTCCAGACCAACCAATAATTAATTTTCATTATTAAAATAATGCAAATTATTTGTAAGGAAACATTCCTTCTAGTTGTGGCAACATTTTGAGTAATTGAAACTACTAAATATAGTTATAAGTTTTATATAAGTTTTATATAAGTATATAGTTATACTTATTTCTAAGTAAATGTGCATAGATATCAATACAGGTAGTTCTTGATTTATGACCATAATTGGATGTGGAAGTTGGTCACTAAACAATAAACCATGCACTTTGCTTATAAGAAGCTGGCTGCAAAGATCACAAATAACAACCACATGACCATACGGTGCTGCAAAAGTATCATGGATGCAAACAGTTTCCAAGCAGCCAAATTGCAATCACATGAATATCGGGGTGGTGCAATGACCATAACTTCAAGAATATTATATATGATAAATAACCTTTTTCAGCCCTGTCATAACTTTGGACTGTCATTAAATGAATGGTTGTAAGTCAAGAATTATTTGTATTTTATTCTGGCATTGATGCTGCAATAACAGTTCTGTGTTGGTGAAATATCCAGTTGAAAACAGCATTTACCTTTTTTATTTTCAACATCAATTAGATTACCTTTTTGACCTTTTGGCCCAGATGTTCCTTTCATACCAGGGGCTCCTGGATCTCCGGGTAGGCCTGGGACACCTTGTGGGCCCTGAATCCCCAAACCTGGTGTCCCCATTTGACCTCTTGAGCCAGGAATTCCAGGGTCTCCAGGAAATCCTTTATCACCTTGTATATTTCTTCCATCTTCTCCCTGTCCACCATTCAGATAAATACAAAATAATATTTGTGACCTGAATGTCATTTAAATGCTATTACGTTCAAGTTGATTTAAGATCCTATCCAGATGTAGTCAATTATCATTTGGGCAGTATGTCTAATCTAAATTCTAATTAGTTTAAGTCTGTCACATAATTAGTTACAGGTATAAACTATATGTTATACATGTATAAAATACTATATTTTTGTCAAAATCTTGGAGTAAATTCACAATAACTACAAAACATTTTAAAAAGCCAGAATTTGATAAATTTAAGACTGGGTTCTAGCAATATGCAGGCTTGAAGGAACAAAACTATTTTGCCTGGAAACTCAACAACCACCTAATTTGAGCTTCTATTCATTGTTTTCTTCACCTCTGATGATGACAGCATCACATGTATTTATTAGGAACCAATGGTATATCCCACAAACAATGAAAAAAGTAATTTGCAATATGAGTAGACCATCTCAGTAGTGAGAAATTGCTCAGTCCAGGTAAAGTTTAAAAACGTCAAACAAGAATCTGCCTGGAAATTAACCAGTGTTAGAAAATATGTCTGCTTACTTTCCGGTGACGTCTTTCTCATTGACGGACCAGAGACCGCGATTGTCCATGGGTTTGGTCCATGCTCCCGTCGGAGGGCCCTGATCATTTGCATTTGGGGCCAGAACCACCCTGTAGGGGTGGTGAGGAAGGGGGAGACCACCAACTGGGTAGAGGGGAGCCACATTTCCCCTCCCTGGCTAGGCATCTTACTCCCTTCCAAAGACGGCTGTAGTGGTGGTCAAATATGGCCACCCTGAAGAGGAAAAACTAACCTGGACAAGATTGTGCAGGAGTGGTGAAGAAGAGGACAGCATGAAAACCTGGCTAAACAGGCGTAACATTTAAATATAAGGTACCCTGGAATTAAAATTTTAAGGAATTTATAAGAAAGATAATTAAAGTGACAGCCAGAGAAAGTGAAGAAAAAAATTGACAGCTAAAAGTGGCTTTGAAACTTGAAAAGAAGATGTCAGAAGAAGATATTTGTTTAAATTAGATAAGTATATGATCTTGGCACTAAACAGGCATAACTAAAGCTGAACTTGAACGTGTCAAATAAAAAAAAAATATTTGTATATTTGGACTTATTGGAACTTTGAATATTAAACACCCTAAATAGAGAGAAAAAGTGAAGGGAAAAAGGGCAGAATTTGGGTATAACAGATAGTGCCATCTAGTGGTAAAAGAAATTATTTGTAACTTTTTATAACCTGGCTTCTATAAAAGCTGGATTTGAGACAAAGTAAGTGAAGCTTTGTTACAACAAAATAGAGAAAATGAAAATGGAAAATGAAAGTGGAATATTGAACATTAAAACAAAGAAAGAAGCAGGAAGAAATTAACTTGGGTTTGTCTGATGATTTTGGCATAAACTTAAATTAATGGACATTGGACTATTTGATGAATCTGAGAAAACCTGAAGAGGAATTAAGAAAAGCTGATCACTGGAAATAAATAAATAGAGCAAAGTCAATGGGGAAGCCAGGTTCACTTAACAGCTGGGTTACTAACTTATCAGCTGCAGTGATTCATTTAACAACTGTGGCAAGAAAGGTCATAAAATGGGGAAAAACTCACTTAACAAATATCTCATTTAACAACAGAAACCTTGGACTCAAATGTGGCCGTAAGTCATAGACTACGTATATTTCATGAAGATCTTCCATTCAAGGAGGTTCAACCCTGTTTAGCTTCTGAGCTTCTCTATTACATTTTTTACTACGAACTGCTGAGACTAGCCACAGATGTCCAGATATTGCCAACTCCTGAAATTTCTTTGAAAAGGAACAGGTACTGATTTACAATAAAAGACAGACAGATTTACTTGAATCCCTTTATCACCCGGCAATCCTCCATCTCCTGTCTTGCCAGCAGCTCCATTTATTCCTGGAAATCCATGTATTCCTGGAACACCTCTTTGTCCTTTTACTCCTACAAATGATGGAAAGCTTATAGTTAGTATCTGAAGAAATATGCTTGTGTTACAATTCAAGTCAGCCTCAGTTAATAAGACAAATAATTTCCAATAGTTGTAGAATAAGAATATATACAAAGAAAATAATTATACTATACTAATGAAAAAAAACTGGATGCATGTCATAGTCTGTAAAGTTTAAATTTTTCTTCTGTCTTGCAAGAGATATTAACTGAAAACCCCAATAAAAACCATATTTAATATAGGATACCTATATGGAATGTGCACAATTTTAGACTTTTTCTTAAAAAGTTAATTATAATGCACTCCTAATGAGACGGATGAGAAGATATATTGAAAACATTTGGAATTTAGATAGCTTGTAAGTACACTTGAGTTTTGCAGAGATAGATATTTGTCACAACTTAAGATGTCTTTAGAAAACTAGTATATAGTCGGTTACATACGGAGCAGACAATTTACAGTATTTTTTTTGTTTCCTTTTTGGTCAAAAGCCACATTTTCTTTGTGAATTAAGAAAATAATAAGTGGGCTTAATTGTAGGTGGACTTAAGCACTAGATAGGTCCACAGACCACATGCAAATATATACTTCAGCAGGCAGCAAATTGGGCCAAATTGCCTTTGTTAGGGGTTCTGAACTGATTCAAGGGGTTTTTGGAAGCATGCTGTAGGTTATCTACCTACCTTATGTAATGAAATAGAGAAATAAGTATTACTCGGTGATGAGATATATGATAAGATACAGACTGCAGTATTTCCCACATTATTATTAACAGTGAGTCACAAAAATGAAGGTGAGAGTTTTATTTTAATTATGACATAGATTTCATTTTGGGAACTGACACCAATCATGTTATCATTATTTCTTATTTCATTTTCCATTCTACTTACATAAGGACTGTAATAAGTCAAATCCAGGTAGTACTTGATTGATTTATTAAATCGAAATGGTTTAATCCTATCTTATGGGACAGATGATTTGTATTGAATTCAAGGGTCTGCATAGGTCACTTTTAGGGTTAATTTTAATAAGACATTTCTGATTGTTGAAAAGAACTTCGGAGTATCTCTTTGTAAGTAGGAAACATGAGCAGCCCAGACTCCAGAATTAAGACTGGTACACAAACTGAAGGAGAATTTATATGTAATACATTCCTATCATTTTAGAAGCATGTAGATGCATATTAAATAGCAGAAGACCTCATGCAGGCTTAATATTTCATTTTGTATTATCTTTGTCAGTCTCCTTGTTTCGTACTGGTAAACCAAGATCAACTCAAAATTTCCTGGTTCGGATGTATCAGACATCTGTAGTTTAAACAAGCCATTGTAAAATATAAGACCCAGTGTGGAACAGGACAATATAGGCATCATGCTTAATTAAGATAATTGTAGTTGAACTAGACACAAGTACCCCATTGCCTTTAACTGTATCCTCATTTTCCTTTTCCCCAAAGTGCCAGATTTGGAGATATCAAAGCAGCAGTTCTCAAATCTTATAATTATAGTAGTTTGCGTAGTTACCTTTGATCCTTATTTCAACCGGGTCACCTTTATCTCCTTTTTCACCTGTCAGTCCAAATGGACCTGGCAATCCCTTAGAAGTTTAAAAATATCCAGGTTATTGTTAAATTCACTCAATTATTTTATTTGAATTAATAAAATATTGCAATTATAAACTTTATTCCATTAATAGGATGGAAAAAGAGTGTGGTGCTTAATTTCTCCCTCTATTTAATGAGAAATTTATTCTCTTTGAGAAGACAACATATCGATTAACTTATTTCTTCCATGACATAGTATGTAGTAGTAATCTCTTAGGAAGATTATAGACATTGTTTAATGATTTGTTTTCATGACATTCAGTTCTACTAGAACATTTGCAGATTAACAATTATTTCCAACTAAACCTGACTGAACTCCTTAAAATGGAATTTGTTAAATTATAATTCGCACTCCGCTTATAAGGTACTCCAGATAATGCAATAAAAATATTAATACTTAAAAAGAAAAGCATATAATATTTAAACAATTATTTGATAATCTGTAGTTTGATTATAGTTAATGGGTTTTTTTTTCTTGGCCATTTTCCCAATATTTGGAGTCTGCCAAGGCATCAAGAATTGTGGACATTGGGGACATCAAGTTTATCTAAAATAATAGCACAACAGTGAATGAGAAATCAAGACCTGATTTCAGCAATGTAGAGATGATTCCTGTTATTTTTTTAATATTTGAATTGGGACTACTGTAAACCAGATTGTTTCTGACAAGGAGCAAAGATCAAGAAGGACTTTGAAAAAATAATCCAGCATCTTTTCTTCCTTTTCCTTTGTTTTAATTATAATTATTAATTATGAGATCAGGTTATCATATTTATACTCTGACACACATATCTATATGATTTCTTCGATTAATTAGTTTGATATAATTTTAAAGAGCAATTACTCACTAAGGATCCTGGTTCTCCTCTTCTACCAGGAAAACCGGGATCACCTTTTCTTCCATATTTTCCAGGTGTTCCCACTTCTCCTTTTCTCCCAGGTATCCCTGGCAGACCTTGTTTGCCAGGTGGACCACAAGGGCCAAGCCCACACGAGCAGTTCCCTGGATTTCCTATATAAATAAAGCACTTGACATGAGCCCAGTGAGAAAACTAAGTAACTCTGCCACCCTCCTAACATGAGAAACGAACTTTACTAGACTAGAGGATGCACCCATAGTTTACATTGTTTTATTCTGTCTTTCTCCTCAGGTTCACATCTAGTGTGGAGCTCTGAAAAAAAAAGCTTTTTGTTCACTTCATACAATCACAGACCTTAATCAAAATATTCAAAATCACAGGCAATATTGAAGAAAATGTTGCTACGGTGCTTCCTCAAGGACACAAGCAATCAAAGGAAAAAGAGGATGGCAGAAAAAGTGGAAGGTCAGCAGTCACAGCCCTTTGCTATTATTTAGTATGGCTGACTCATTTATTTTGATGCACAGAAGAGCTCTGGCTTTAAAAACACAAATGCCTAAATGTCATAGTATTTAGACATTTCGTGAGGGGTACATATACTTGCCTTTCTCTCCTTTTCCACCTCTTTCTCCAGGTAATCCTATTTGACCTTTAGCTCCTCGTTCTCCAGGGGACCCTCTCCCCTTACAGGCAACACCTTGAAGTTGGAAAATAATGCATGTTTATAATATAAATGTATTAGCATTTTTCCCTCTGTCATTTAAAAAAAAATCCCTACTCTACTGCTTTCTAAGATTGAGCACAGACTAAAGTCCATTTGAATTCATATTTTCTATCTCCATTGCATCTGCATATAAATGGCTGGCATTGCTTTTCTACACTGTACCAAGTGTATAGTGCAATACGGTGCTGAGCTAACAAGCTGGGAAGGAAGAATCGGAATAATCCATAAATCAGTGTGAGATTTTTGCATTGTTCTTCGCAGACAAAGTGTACAATTTGGAGGCTGGATATATTGATAGAACTGTTGTAACTCCTTGCTTCATTGTTCAGATTTTTTTTTCAGCTTGTGAATCTTAATGATATCGGGTCCTAGAGAAGCAAGAGCTACCATTATACTGATTATGATTTATTGGAGGTAAAGCATATTTATGGGATGACTAAATCCTTCCTGCCTAAAAGAGGCAGTGGTAAGGCCATTAGTAAAGGAACCTTCCCTTAACCTTGAAGAGTTGGAAATCTATTTCCCACTTTTAAATTTATCATGTCTAATTAACATGATCAAGAAAATAGTGACTTCATGTGTCTAAAACATCTGGAGCACACAGATTAACTGCGCTCAATTCTTCTCCATGTTGATTACTTCTACAGACTACTGCCCAGCAACACTTTAACCTAAGCCCTTTTAGGGAAAGGTTGGAGATAAAGTATACCATTGGATGCAATTGTGGTGGTGCAACAAATGTCACTCATCTCTTTTTTGCTATAAGCCATGTAAGCCAAAGAATTGAAATTGGCAGTATACAAATTCATAATCCAACTCCTGTCTTGGGTTGGAAGCCAGTTAGACAGAGCTCACTGCATTGAGTGAAGTGGTATCTTCTACTGCTACCCAGGATAGAAGTGGATAGAATTCTGATGGAATGAAATATGCCACTGGAGAACTAGATTCATGCCATTTTGAGGTAGATAAACAGGACATCCCTCAAAAAGCTAAGTGGGATATGAGTAGATGGATTCAAAGACAGTCAACATACATTTAGGGGAGGACATAATGCCACTTATTTTAAGGCAGCATGGGCGTATCTTTCTTGAAAAAGCCTTCATTTTATCTGCCTTTTTGTGTGTGGGGGGGGGGACACAATTTTTACCCATTTTCCATTCAAGCCTAGTTATAGGACAGAAACAGCAATGGACAAGAGTCAGAGAAACTGACTCTTAATCTTTATAGACCTTTCAGCAACATTCACTACCACTAATTGCTAGTGGATCCATAGATATATTTTAAACTATTAGTTAATATAATCATATAATTAGTTTAAAATGTTGAATAAAGTCTGAAACACAACATTTGATTGCCTGTTTCACTGCAAATATGTCACATATCTCTATGGATGTTGTTAATTAATCTATTGTAAGGTGGAGGGTCTTCATTGATAATTGTGAACCACAGTCTTCCATTTTGGTCCAGTGTTGGCAGAGGGTTTTTTGATTTCCCAGTCTAGGCTGAGAGACAATGAGCCCAAATTAACTATCTTCCATTTCAAGGGAAGGGCTAGAACTTTGATTTCCCTGATCCTAGCCCTGTGCCCTAAATAATACATCACACATATCCTCTATCGTTCTCTCTCTATCTGGACAAGCAGAGTGGGAATAGTGTCAAGGATGACTACTGTAGAATGGAAATGTCTGAAAAAATCAGCTGTTCCTATGCTATCCTTACCACACCGCCACCACACACACACACACACACACCATAGACAAATAAGGTAAGATTGATTCTATAGCAAAAAAAAACCCCAAGACCCTGTGTTCTACTTAGTTAAAATGCATTCATATTCCTTGCTTTAGAGAAAATATTATAGGAAATGTTGGCTGCTTTCAGGTGATATTCTGGAATTATTAATAATTCAATTCTCATGCAATGCTTCAGCATTTGGCTTATCTTACCGGGTGGCCCAGGCAAGCCCTGTTTTCCTGGTACTCCTGGAAAACCAGGTAATCCTGGAGATCCTGGCCTTCCTGGAGCTGTACTAGACTGAGCTGAAGAACCAGGGCCTCCATGGAAGCCTTGAGGACCCTCTACACCCAATGCACCTTTAGGACCAGGAAAGCCTATGGAAGAAAGGAAAATGAGTATATAATGAGCGTTGAAACAGGGAAAAAATAATGTCATTTGAGAAAAAACACTGTCTGTCTACCAGACCTAGATGACAAAAAATCTAGATGGTTCCAGGGTAACAGGAAAAAAAAAAGATTTTTTTCTTTATCTCTTCGCTTCCCTGCAGGCCAGATCAGAAACCATCTATTGTTTTGAACAGCTGAAGTTCCAGATACCTTTCAATGCAGAACGTGGGGTCAGTAAACATGATTTATCTCTATGTGTCTATTGATGATTGATTTGTGTGAATGCCAAGCTGCCAGGAATTCCCTAATGTTTTTGGATTTAGTTTGGTTTAAATCCAAAACAGGCAGTAAACCTCACAGACACCAGCACTGTTGACATTCCTAGTCAGATAATGAATCATCAACAAGCAATCAAGTTCAGAGGGCACCAAGAACTCCACATAATCAATCTCACCCATTCACCAATTTAAAACATAGTTACAAAAAGTTAATGACCATGTCAATTAGCAAACAGCTACAGAAGGGCAAGGCTTTAAATGCAAAAATAAAAAATGGCTTTGGAGCATTCAGAATGTGCACCTTGTATATATCTGCAGTTCCATAAAGCAAATTTGCCTTTATTTGGGACTATGCTGCCACTATAAGCAGCATCCGTTCATCCAGGAGTGGGTTCACACCTATTTGCTAGAACTGGTTGTTAACATTCTAAGCAGTTCGGAGAACCGGTTGTTAAAAGAAATTACTGGCCTAATCCTGTAAGAAAGGCAGGAAGGAAACATTCTGGTGTTGCTTACAGAAACTGCCTCTTTGTTAACCCTTATTACATTCTTGGCAGGACTAGACTTCCTGTCACAGGAACTTCTCTGGAGTCTTTTTTCCCTCTTTTGCTGGTACTTTGCTTGTGTGGAGTGACCATTCAAAGTTACAGTGGCACTGAAAAAAGTGACATGATCATTTTTCACACTTATGACTGTTGCAGCATCCCCACAGTCTTGAGAGGCCAGGCGAGGAGATGCGTGCCTCGATGTGAGTGATATTGAGTTGGCCATGCCCAGCCATAACATGACCACCAAGCCATGCCCATGGAACCGGTTGTTAAAAAATTTGAATCCCACCCCTGTGTTCATCCCAAGAAAAGATGCAGCCATTTTCCTCTTTGTCTTTAAATCCTAAACCCTGCATAGCTCTAAAATCAAGGACTAACATGCTATTAGAATTAATTACATAACCTTGTAGAATACAGAGAGCTACAGTTGCTGTCTTTAAACCAGGAAATTAAATAACGTTTAAAAGCCGTAAAATCTGCAAGAAGATATGTCAGCATGCCTTAGCAAACAAAATCTGAAGAATTTATAGGTGACTATATTTGGTTTAAAATCTTGTTAAAATAATTCAAAGCATTAGTGTAAAAAATTATATATAAAATTTCAGAATATGTCTCCATAACGTTAGTGAAGAGTTGAAAACAGATGGTACTATTTAATTCTTATTAATTATGATAGCTAAAATGTTTCTTACTGAGTCCATCTTCCCCTTGCCTTCCTTTGACACCAGGAGAACCAGGCATTCCATCTGTTCCTCTCTCTCCAGGAAGTCCAGGGTCTCCGGGGTCTCCTTGAATACCTGTACAGGACAATTGAAAGCATACTTGCATTTAAAATAATTGAATTTTATTTATGGTTTATGGGAAATGAATATAATGTAACAAGGTTAGCTTAACCCTTTGGTCCAGTAAGTGCAGTTCCTCGAGGTCCGGGTGGCCCAGGCTGCCCATTCTCTCCAGGATCCCCCTATAAAAATGGGAACGCTTAGTGACATTTCCCCAGAGGAGTATTCCTTGACCTTAGCATTTTTAAGATGTGTGGACTTCAACTCCCAGAATTCCCCAGACAGCAGGACATCTTAAAGTTGCCAAGGTTGAGAAACACTGCTCTTGAATAACCCAAGGTAAATGATGATCTTCATCAATCATATATTACTTCAAATAGCATGACTCGATTGCATTGCTATGCATTGGTATGTATTGAATAAAAATGGGTAGAATTATAAACCTGAAATAGTAATTGATTTCATTGCTTTGGTGTATAAAAAGGCTGGCGGACATGAGGAACAACAAATGTCAAAATAACTAACCTTAATGCCTATCAAGCCATCTTGACCAGGAATTCCATGTGTTCCGATTTTACCCTGAAACAAATTGTTGAACATGTTTGATTCTTTAAGAAAATAAAGTAAATTCAAAGTTATTAGAGATCCATAAACAACTGGAAAACTTTTTGATACCTCACAGATAGTGGAAGGTGTGTATATTATGAACATGACAGCTGGAGAAAACTATGATATTTCCTTCGCACTGAGTACAAGGAAGTATATAAATCAAGACAAAATGTTTATCTGATTCAGGATCCTCTTTCAATGCTAATCAGATAATTCTGTAAGAAAGTTATTAAGTTTCTAGTTCCCCAGGCACTGTTTTTCAGAGAAACACATATTACCTCTGATTCTGAAAATTATATATAAGCAACCTAACTAGTAATTATTAACAATTATAACCCCCATTAATAATCAGCATTATTATATTAAATAGAAAATAAGAACTTTCAGCACATTAAAGATTAAAATTTATTATGGAAAATATTTTTATTTCATGGCATTGCTGTTTTTGATACACCTTTGTCATTTTTGCCTCCATTTTCCATAGATTGGAAATAGCTATAAAACATCTACACAATTTTCTTTTTACTAACTTTGTTTATTTGATAAGATCTTGATGAAACTTTAAACTTGGCTTTCTCTAATCTCTAGAACATTATGAAGAAATTGAAACTCACCAGCGCTTCTTCCTGGAAAACTCTACTTTTTATATTTTGGTATTGTGACAATTGTCTAATTACTCTTATTTTCTTCTCTCTGTTTTCATCCAATTGTCATAGGTGGATCCATCCACCTTAAAAAAATCCTACAAATAAGCAATGCAATTTCAGTATACTGTATCTACCTTGTTTCCTGGGAAACCTGGAGGACCATATGAGCCAGGAATTCCCTAGAGGAATTAAGGGGAAAAAAGATAGTATAAGGTGTGACAAAAATTGTACCTCAAGAAAAATGCAAAAGTAAAGATTTTATTTAGATTTTTCAATGAACCAAAACATTAGTTAGAACTGTTTTATATGTGGCAGAAAAGAGGCCTGATGATAGATGTATATAAATGACAATTAAATAAATGAGAATCTATAAAATACTTTCACAATCACAATTAAGAATGCTGTACTCATTCATTAAAAATATACTCTAAAAATCAATGTTTTCATTTTTTGGCTGCTGGTTAAATTTATTTTTATCTATTAATATTTTTCAAACTTCGTAATTTTAGGATGTGTGGATGTCAATTCCCAGAATTCTCCAACCATTCCACACATCTTAAACTTGCCAAGTTTGAGAAACACTGGTCTACATAAAGATTTTGTTTATTAAGAAAATAAAAATAGCCTTTGTAGGCAGAATTTCCTTTATTTACTTGTATATGTGAATTTAAAATAGAAGTGCCAGCCTCTTTCACAATGCTTAACTGATGGCTCACAAATTAAGCATTCTAAATATCAATTTGCAATAATACTTCATAAAATCATCATTTAAAAATCCTATATAGAGGATAGTAGAATGTTTACAACTTTACTTTAAAAAAAAAAAAGCACCATTAAAATGAGATGAAGATAGCATTCTGGAATTTCTTACCTGCTTTCCAGGAAAACCAGGAATTCCTTTATCACCCTTGTCTCCAATTGCAAATGCACCCTGTTATGTTTCAAAATACACCAGTTATATAATTTCAAGATTGGTTGCCATTTACTTCCAACAAGATTAACAAATGTAACATGTAGGATTATAGCCACAGAAGGGAGCATATTGTTAAAGAGGGCCTATGTTTTTTTCCTAATTCTGAAGAAACAACAGGGGTTTTAATTCTAAAGACCCATTGTTACTACGCCGTTTAAGTCAGGTGGCCCTAACGGGTTACCACAAAACAATTAATGTACTGGAGTGCATCTTCCTAGTCATTTTTCAGAGATTTAGCAAAGTGTTCCTTAACCCTGGCAGTTTGAACATGTGCGGACTTCAATTTCCAGAATTCCCCAGCCACATCTTCAAAAAACACTGTCTTGAAAATATACAGTTGAGCTGCACTTTTTCTTAGAAAAATATTGCATAATTAAATGTTTAAGCTAAATTAAATTAGGTACACCACTTCCCTAATTAAATCCTGCTCTATATATTTTCCCCCTACTCTATACATGTGGTTTTCCATTTGTATTCTATTGAAAAAGCAACGTATACCATTTGGGGACCATGAAATTATTTCCCCATATCTCTTGTATTGTAATTAGAAGTCAAATCCAACATACATCTTATTCAGGGGGATTGACAGCTGATAAAATGCAGTTACATAACGGTAAATATACATTTAACTAAAAAGTTCTTTCTTAGCATTCTTGGTAAGTAGCATAATGAAATGAATGTTTTCTATTCATTAATGCAAACTTGTCACTTACTTTGTGGCCACACAATCCTCTTGAGCCAGTAGATCCAGGCATTCCCTTTATTCCCTAAAGATTAAAGTATTCTTGCTTTAATATTGTTTACATAGTATAGTTTTAGCTTCTGTCAAAGCCTGTATTGCAATGCATTAATTTTAAAAAGTATAAATTGAAAAGATGAAATAATTGTTTCCTCAAAAATCTATTTTATACTAGAAACTGTTTTGCTACAACCAGGGAATAATGGCTGACTTCACTTGTTACACTAAACCATGATTTGTTTAAATTGTTGTTTATTTAATAATCCATAATAGCCTGGTTCATACATAATATTAACCTACAGATTAGATGTAAGCAGCCTATGGTATTCCATAAGTTGCTGAACTACAATTCCCAGAACCCTCGCCATCAAGCCTGTTTCCTAGCTTCTGGAGTGTCACAAATTGCCTATCATTGCTGTAGATGATGGTTTACAAATATCAGTGACGTTCATATAAATCTCCACCTCTAGGCCACTGTACTACTCCTATTACTGACTTGCAATCATAAAATTTATAATGTATATACCTTTTCTCCCTTTAATAGTCTAGAACTAGGTGGTCCAACAAGTAACGGCTGTCCTGGAGATCCAGGGGGTCCTACATCACCCTACAAAGAATGGAAAGAGCAAATCGAGTGAACGGCTGAACAAAAGTGAGTTGCAAGTCCCTAATCTGCAGCTCAAGAATTTGGCACTCCTCTCTGACAATTCCTTCTCATGTCATCTCTTTTTCCATGTACTACATATTTAAAAATCAGATTAATTTATCTACCCACAAGAGAATGAAATAATTGAAACATTCAGGTTTTCCTTGCTAGCTGAAGATACAAACTGCACACTTTAGGTTTTTTTTTAACAATAGAACCATAAAATCATTAAAATATAGTTGTGGAAGAAGCCATTTAGGCAACCGATTGCAGTTATGAATAGGAATCTGAATTGAAACAATTTCATTCTATAACTGTTTATTTTCACTTGAAAATATCAATTAAATAGAATAGAACAGATAGAATAGAATCCTTTATTGGCCAAGTGTGACTGGACACACATGGAATTGGTCTTGGTGCAAATGCTCTCAATGTACATAAAAGAAAGGGGCATTCATCAAGAGTCAAGAATCATAAGGTACATAAATGGAAAGTAAAACAGTTTTCAGACAGTTGGTTAACATTAAGTCACAGTCTGTCTTCTTGGAACTGGATTGTTTTTATCCTGGACTCTAGAATGATGGATAATATTATTGACCATTTCCTGTTTGACATTATTTCAGGTATTTCAAAAATGCTATCCCTCTCAGCCTCTCTCATTGCTTTACTATAAACATGTTCATTTTTTTTCTGAATCCTTATTAAAACATAGTACCTATAACTGGACAAATACCCAATAAGTGTCTAACGATGTAGAATAAAATGGAACAATTGCTTCTTATAATCTGGAAAATTCTTGTGATGCAGTTTAAATCTGCATTTAACATTTGTAGCTGTTCAAATTATTGACTCATACTCAATTTGCTAATCAATTACTATTCAAAAATCTTGACTGTCACAAGCAATCTAGTAGTGAATAAATTAGATCTGGTTCACTTGAAAGTAAACCTAGATTCTATTCAGACTAAATAGAAGATTAAATAGATTTTTTTCTGTACAAAATGACAATACATTTTAATGCTTCTTTTAAAACAAAGTTCTGCTTGTGTTTTCCCCATTCCAAATTTAGCCCCTTACAAAAAAACTCACTGCTTTAAAATTTTAAACAGCTCAATTTATGAAGAAAAAAGATCAATAATCTGAAGTTGCAATTTCTTGTTAACTGCTAAATATTTCAATGTTCAATTCCCAATTGCCATTTATTTCTTACCGGCTCTCCCTTTTGTCCTTCCACTCCAATTCCTGGATTCCCCTAATGAAATATTAATATATTAAAAGAAGGAAAATACACTGATTATTCATTGTAGATGATAGATGAAATTCACATGAGAAAAACATAAATATTTTACTGGTGCTCGGTAAATCTTTGTCAGTTTGTCTGTTAAATCAAGGATTTACTGCAAATAGTTAGATTAATTCTGCAATTCTATAAATCATATATTTACAGTTTTAAAGAATGTCCCGTGTTTCCATGATCCATTAAATCAGAGTTTTACTCTATTGGTATATCCTTTAAATTAAAATATATCACTATGATTTAAATTTAGAATTTTTCTTTAAAAAATTGAAGAGTATTTTCAAAAGTAATTATCAATATGAAGAAATTATAAAATTTTCCAAGAACAAAAATCTCTCACCTGATCACCTGGTAAACCAGGTTGACCTTGAAAACCCTGTGAAAAGAAGAATTTTTATATAATCAGACATGGTACTCTCTAGAGGTATTGGATTAAGTTTTTTATAATCCCAAATCTTGAAAGCAATGTTGGCAGAGGTTTTTATCAGCATTTAAATCCAATGTATTTGTAAATATTAGTGAAGAAAACAGTTTTCTGTCCTGTTCTTGTTCTTAATATTTTTCCCTACTAATATGTTGCACTATTCAAACATCTCCCCTGTAGAATTATTTTTCCTGATTGTCTTTATTGCAGACAAAAAGCTTTACTTTTGGCACTGCTAGAGGAGGATAGTTGGGTGTAAGCAAAGAAAAATAATTTTCAATCAACTTTGTATAGATTAAAAATGGATTTGCTTGTAAAATTTACTGGAGAATGGGCAAACTGCCAACAGAATTATTGACAGGAAGGAACATCCAATCTCAGATGATCTCTGTTACTCCTATGAAATTGATTGCAGAAGAAGTAGGAGATAGAGAAGACAGGCAGATTCTAACATGGTGTCAGTTAAGTAAGAGATTAAAATGTTGAAATTATACCTGCTCACCCAGTTCGCCTGGAAATCCAGATGGACCTCTGGGTCCCTTTTTTCCTCCAGGACCCTAAGTACAGTACAACCACACAGTATTATGCTTATTAATAACAAGTAATTTTCTGTTTACTGTCTGGAGAAAATTGTGTTAGGTATGCACAAGTTTTCATAATGTGCCTACTAACATCATTCTTTAACAGTTAGGAACAGTTAGAAGACAATAGTCCAAACGCTAGCAACAACCAACTAATTTAATTTTAGGATGATTAATGTTCTAGAATAAAAGCTAACTACCATTACAGTACATAAATAAAATAACATCACAGCTATTGGTCGGAAGTTACAAATGCTACAGAGACAAATGAATATTTCTGTGAGGAATGCAATCATGAGTAAAATAGTGTGAAGTAATTTAATCACAAGTTTGCCCACCATTTGGAACATCTGCAATGCATAGCAACAAGAAGTTATTTTGAAGGCAGGCAACACAATGAAAGGATGAAGACCTTTTGTCCCCCTCTGAAATCTGTCTAGTTGCCAAAACAAACAAATGAATAAACCCTTACAAGTGGAAATTTGAAAGAGGGCAATCCTGTAGCTGAAAAGAGGATGTGCCTCAACAATTTGATGGTCTCTCATATTTATTATTAATGTAGCTTCTTAGCTTCATTTAAACTAAGGGTTGGTAAGGTATGGCTTACACATTATAACTTTTATGTGGGAACCATTCTAAGAATCCCTAAGATGGAAACAAACTGAGTTACCAATTATAACAAATGCAGATTCTCACATAAGTCTAAGCCTTGCATGTACATACATAGCTGGGAAGGCAAGTGTGATTTGGGTTACTATCTCTGTAGAGAATTTCAAGCTAGATGGAAAAGCTGAAACTAATGTATCTTCACCATACAAACTGATGAAGGAGCTTACAGGCATGCCTGGAGGTCCAGGATCCCCTCTTTCTCCCTGTAACCAGAATCACCATGTTAGATGAAATATAATACTTATTGGTAACATTAATTACTACAATTTAATGATTTATATGGAAAAAGGAAACTAGATAGGAAGAATAAACCCAAAATAAATACTTATATATCTAAATAATATAAATAATTATCTAAATGATTTAAATAATTACCTAAATAATTTAAATAACTATTTTTATTCCATTGTGGTTTATTTCACCTTCTTTCCAATTCTTATACTGGAGTGAGAATCATTAATACACAGATAAGATCATTGTTTTTAAATTAAGAATCCATAATTTTTTCATATAAGGATTAAAACTAACTTGATATGTCTAGTCATATTTATGTACTCCAAATTAAAATACGCAGTTCCACAAACCTCACTTTCAAATGACTATGAATAAGATTTCACCCCCACAATAAACTATATCAATAAAGATATACTTTAAAAGGCAATGTTTACCTGGTCATTTTATTTTCCACTTAGAAATTCTAATAAAAAGAATGTAAAAGCCTGTAACTTAGGCGTCTTCATTTTTAAGTAATAATATAGTTCAAAACTGTGCATGTATACTTATGTTTAAAAAAACATTGAAAATGAGCTCATGATTAATCAACCTGAATTAAATTCCTTTTCACAGCAGCTGCATGTGTTAACTTGTTATATTTTAGAATTTTAGAATTTCCTAATATTAATAATATAAATGTTGCCTAAAGCTATATCTTTATAGATATAAGTCATGGCTCTTACATATTTAAAATTATTTACACAACTCTTCATCTTGAGGCACTATTTAAAAACTGATATAACACTCACAGTTGATCCTTGAATGAATTCAGAATATATGGAGTTTCCTTTTTCTCCTTTTTGGCCAGGAATACCCTGTAAAAGATGTTTAAAATCATGATAAAAACAGAAAGTTATGAGTTTGCACATAATAGCTGAAACAATAAAGTACAGGTAGTCTTCAACTTATGTCTGTAGTTGGGACCAAAAAGTAATTTTCCATCCTTTTTTATTTAAGCAAATGCTCCAGTCATTAAGTAAACCCATTCATTTGAATGGGTGTTTCTTTGCCATAAGTCAGCTTTAAAGATATTATAGAGCATATTAAAATATAAACACAACTTTATACACATTTTCCGTACAATGAAGTGAATCCGGCATACTAAGAAGATAGACATAGAAATAATTGGCATTTATAAATTGATCACAAACTATATAAGATCTAGTGAAGTTCAACTCACAAATGACCCTTTTGGTCCAATGCATCCACTTTCTCCTGGAAGTCCTGGATCACCTCTTGAACCATTACATCCATCTGCCCCAGGCTTCCCTCTGGGTCCTTCAATTCCTGGTAGCCCCTATAAGAGAAAAAATAATAATTCTGTATGTCTGTTAAAATAACTCATCATTTGTCTGTATTGAAAGATTGCATTTTGAAATCCAGGATCAAAACTCAGATAAGATGTCAGGTGTATATCCAATCTAATTAGAAACAATCTAAAATTTGAAGCCTGGCATAAACCATGCTATGGGTAGTCAGAGGGACAAATTGGACATACAGTAGGCATGTATATGAATCCTATGGTTAACATTCTACTCAAATGTTTATACACATCAAGAGGGGTTCCAAATACAAACTGATATGAGCATGCATACTTTGGTGTCATACTTTCCCTGTCATTTTCTCATACAGCTTCTTCCTGTTGCTAATTGCTCCAAATGTCACAAGCTGTTTGAGGGGCATATGGCAGCTCCAGTAGGGATTTTATAAAAATTTCTATCCAACTTTAATACTGGTTTCTATCCAAATAATCATTCAGATAAAAACAATAGGAAAAATTAGTTTCTTTGGTGTACTTTATTATTTATATTCACAATTTATGTTTTTAATCTTCTATTTAATAAAAAGGAGATTAAAAATAATGTTGTGGTTTCAGAGACAAAGGTAGTAACTTGTTCTTATTAATGCTCTATGCTCCTTACTCAAAAAAAAAATAGTATTCATGAATTCTGCAGTCTGGTAGAGAGTGTTCCAAACAATTCAGTGGGAAGCCAGAACATTCATAGAGTGGGTATAATAACTGCTGGTAACAAGGTTCTAAACTAGTCTGCCTTACTGCCCAGTTCAAGGATTATAACAGTCTTTTACAGCAAAAATGTTTGATAAGAACCTTCAAAGTTCTGGTATTTTTCCAAGTGATTTCTCCTTCTTCTCTTCAAGCTAGGGCTAATTCTCATTGCAAAGTTAGTTCTCTATTAGCTAATTTCTTCATAAGATGTAACTGTCCTGGAGATGTGTCTCACACATTAAAATACCATCAAATAGATTATTTTATTAAGCCCTGAAAATGTATATTATCAACAAACATCTCTACGATGGATACTGCATAACTGAGGTACCACTGCAGATTTTTTTTATGAATTATATAGTGTAGTGCACTTTTTAAAAATACAGTCAGATCAGATGAACAGGCATATTGAAATATCAATGCTCTACAGTTTTATATGATATGGAGACATTGGCAGCATACTTACAGGCATTCCATCTAGACCTGAAAATCCTGGAACTCCAGTTGGACCCTGAAGGAATTCAACATTAAACCATATTAATATATAGCTTACTTTAAAAATGACTTGTAGAACAGTTTTGCATAATTTGATTTGTTTTTCTCACCATAACAAGTTTGAGAGGCAGTACACTCAATCACTGCCAGTAGATTGAAGAAATTGCCATTTTCTGACAAATCAGAAAAGGTAGACATTTGACTCTAAGTGCTCACTTATTGCCTCAGCAGGGAGGACACTTAGTCAACCTTGCTTAGGATTGTGAAATGAAGAGGATTTGATTTATATTCAGGTGGGAGACTACTAAAGAATACCAAGATTTGCGGATAGATTGAAATCAAGCCAAAAAAGTCCTGGAAAAAAACAATGGTAAACCACATTGCTATGTCACCAAAATTCTACATGGACGTGTCCATGAAATTATCATTCAATCAATTCAAAAGGAACTTTCCTAACTCCCCCCTTTGCTCAGCTAATAAACTATTAACTGCACCTAAAGCCTGTAACTTTTTTGAAGCTACTCGTTACATTTGCCAGAAATCCTATGCCAGGGGTCTCCAACCTTTCAGACCTCAGGGACAACCAAACTCATAATTTCAAATCCTGCAGACCACTAATATGAATTTTGACTGATGGGACTTGCTGACATTGGTGGGAAAGTTGGTCCCTTATTCCAGAGCTGCAGCAGTCACAGGACTGGCCTGTGCACCGGCCTGCCATGGATGAGCTGCTCCAGGATGATAAAAGGACCAGTCTTGTGAGTACAGCAGCTCTGCAATATGGGACCGGCCCATGGTGGGGTTGGAAATCTCTGCCATAGGAGCTGGCACCTGTAATGTGCAAATTTGCGGGTGGTGCAGTGTGCAAAAATCAGCCAGCCCTCACTGGCCAGGACGAGATAATAGTGCTGTTGCAGCAAGAGGGGGCTGGAGCTTAGTCTCGGGAATCCTCTTGTGTGGAGGCTGAAGGGGGGGGGGGGGTCGGATGCCCAGATCAAAAGAGTGCCAAGGAAGACAGGCTCCTAATAACCAGGCAACACCCCCCCCACTTCAGCCTCCACACAAGAGGACTCTCTGAGGCTAAGTTCCAGGTTTCTCCCACTGCTTCCAAGCAGAGAAGGGTCCCTCCCTGTGCGGAGGCCAAAGTGGTGGGAAAAGCTCAAGCTCTCACCTGCACAAACAGGCTGATTATTAGGAGCCCATCTGCCTTGGCTCTCGGCAAGGGCTGCACTTCTTTGCAGATTTACGCTCAGTCAAAGGTTGGGGCCAGCAGGTGGGCGGGCCATGTGGGCAGCGCAGCCTTGTGTTCCTGCGCAGCCTGGATTAATTGCTTTGGGGGGATGCTCTGGGAGGACATGTCTCTGCAGACCACCAAAATTTTCTCACAGGCCATGAGTTAATATCCTTAATTTCATGCTGCTAAGTAACAATACAATTATTTTATTATCTATTACTTACCATATTTCCTCTTTCACCAAGTGGCCCAGGTAAACCAGGATCACCTCTCTGGCCTTTTTCTCCTGGCAAACCAACAGGTCCAATGGAACCCAGAGCACCAATTGGACCCTGGACTCCTGGGTGACCAGGTTGCCCCTGCAAAGTATAAATAATTCAGATTACTTTCTGTGTAAAAAAATAAAAGAGCAGCAGTAACAACATGAATTCAGAGGAGGAAATAGTTTATTCAAACAAAATGTTCATATAAGGTTTCATATTCCATGGTCTGTAATGTAACATTGAATGCATTATATTTTTTATTTATTATATTGTAGCACAGATGTACATATAATATCATAGCCTTTTGATGAATATATTTATGAAGTTTAGTAAACAGAAATATATATCTTAAATACAGGTGAAACTCGAAAAATTAGAATATCGTGCAAAAGTTCATTTATTTCGGTAATGCAACTTAAAAGGTGAAACTAATATATGAGATAGACTCATTACATGCAAAGCAAGATAGTTCAAGCCGTGATTTGTCATAATTGTGATGATTATGGCTTACAGCTCATGAAAACCCCAAATTTACAATCTCAGAAAATTAGAATATTACATGCAATCAATAAAACAAGGATTGTATATAGAACAATATCAGACCTCTGAAAAGTATAAGCATGCATATGTACTTAGTACTTGGTTTGGGCCCCTTTTGCAGCAATTACTGCCTCAATGCGGCATGGCATGGAAGCTATCAGCCTGTGGCACTGCTGAAATGTTATGGAAGACCAAGATGCTTCAATAGCGGCCTTCAGCTCTTCTGCATTGTTCGGTCTCATGTCTCTCATCTTTCTCTTGGTAATGCCCCATAGATTATCTATGGGGTTCAGGTCAGGCGAGTTTGCTGGCCAATCAAGCACAGTAATCCCACAGTCATTGAACCACGTTTTGGTGCTTTTGGCAGTGTGGGCAGGTGCCAAGTCCTACTGGAAAATGAAGTCAGCATCCCCATAAAGCTCATCTGCAGAAGGAAGCAAGAAGTGTGCCAAAATCTCCTGGTAGACGGCTGCGTTGACCCTGGACTTAATGAAGCACAGTGGACCAACACCAACAGATGACATGGCTGCCCAAATCAACACAGACTGTGGAAACTTCACACTGGACTTCAAGCATCTTGCAGTGTGTGCCTCTCCATTCTTCCTCCAGACCCTGGGTCCTTGGCTTCCAAATGAGATGCAAAAGTTGCTCTCATCAGAAAAGAGGACTTTGAACCAGTGAGCAACAGACCACTTCTGTTTTTCTTTAGCCCAGGTAAGACACTTCTGACATTGTTTGTTGTTCAGGAGCGGCTTGACAAGAGGAATACGACATTTGAAGACCATGTCCAGGATCTGTCTGTGTGTAGTGGCTCTTGATGCACTGACTCCAGCCTCAGTCCACTCCTGTGAAAGTCCCCAACACTTTTGAATGGCCTTTTCCTGACAATCCTCTCCAGGCTGCGGTCATCCTTGCTGCTTGTGCACCTTTTTCTTCCACGCTTTTCCTTTCCACATAACTTTCTATTAATGTGCTTTGATACAGCACTTTGGGAACATCCAACTTGCTTTGCATGTAATGAGTCTATCTCATATATTAGCTTCACCATTTAAGTTGCTTACTGAAATAAACGAACTTTTGCACGATATTCTAATTTTTTGAGTTTCATCTATACTTATTATGGAATACAAGTAGCCATTTTTTATGACAAGTTAAACATATATTTTCCTCCTTTAAAAAAGGATATTAGAGATATAGTATAGAAATCAATTCTGAGCAATTCAGACCACTATTTGCTGTTAAGTTTTAACAGAAATGAATCTCTCAGAAATCAGATGTATCCATTCCAATTTCTACATTTTTATCTCTCCAAAGAGTTTATTTTATTTATGTAGATCAATTAATTTCAAAATAGTTGAAAAAGTGGTCCGGATAAAGAAAGAAGAATACGAATCAGAGTTAATCCTGTTGTTAACATCTCTCCTTCTGTCTGTCTGTCTGTCTGTCTCTCTCTCTCTCTCTCTCTTTCTCTCTCCCCCCGTGCATGTGCATGCATGCACCTTTGAATCACTATTAATTCCTGGCAACTCTCTGGATAAGTCCCTGCAGTTTTATTGGCAAGAAAGTGGATTGCTTCTTCCTAGGGCTAAGGAAGACAAACTCATTCAAAGTACCCAAGTGGCTGTGTGTTGAGGGCAGGACTGGAAATCACAATCAGCAAACGCTCCCATATATTAAAAAATAACTGAAGACATTAGATGCTACATATAATGAAAGTGCTTAGCATAATTAGAATAGAATTATTTGAATTGCTATTTTTTTCAGTGGTTATATTCAACCCATGGAATTGCCAACTGCCAGTCTAAAATCCAGAGTGAGGTTAATAGTTGATTGACTCAACATAAGCACACCATGTATTACTTGTCTTAGTAGAAACATTGCTAAGAATGAGTTTATGACATCTATAACATTCATTATTTAAGCCCATCTAATGTGACCATTGTGGTATTTCACTCTCAGGGCAGCTGTAAAAATAAAGACAGTAAAGGAAGCCACACTTAATGTGAAAACAACGAATCAGTACAGTTAAGTAGGCCTGGCATCTCCTCCTAATGCTAATAAATTCCACCAGCTTATAGTTGTGTTCATGTGGAATAATGGCAATGAAGTATAGTGGCATCATCCACTTTTCCTTTGGCATATTATATAAACACCATATTATTCTGTAACACCTATATTGTATTATTTGATTTCTTTTGCACTCTGAATTTATTTTGATTGCCTCATAATGTATTGACTTTATTGTGCACGTTGTCCTAGATTTATGTTATCTCAAACATATTGCAGGAATCAATGAATGCATAAATCTTCAAAAGAGAGAATAAAGAGAGAGAGATGCCAGGAATATTCATAGTAGGCATCTCCAGGTGTTAAATTAGATCACCTTCTCTCATTTATAAAAAGTATTTAACCCAAGAGAAGTCAGATGGTATTGTGAACTTCAACATAACCCTAAATTGGACAGTGCTATATTCCAGGAGTCTATCTGGAACCTGTTTCAGAGTTCCTGTATGCAGAAAGGATGTTTAGATATACTGTCTCTTGTAATTTATATAATTTCAATAAACTCTTGGGTGGTTTATTCTATGAGTCTATAATCTTGAATCCTAAAAAAAAAAAGCCATCTGGCACCTATCTAGATGGCCATTGGAAAGCAGAACACTTGCTAATTGTCTAAGTCGGGAACTTTTCCAATGTCAGGATCAGCCAATCTTAGTTTAGCACTTCCTGGACTTGAGCTAATATAGATTGTTAAATTCAGCCAAATCAAACCTCTTAGACTGAAAATGAGATGGCTTTCATTAAGAAAATATTCTTTAATTTTTTTAATGAAGCAACAATACTATGCATCATCTAAATATGGAAATGTGCTTTTTTATCTATATCTGTTTTTAACCTATGTCTATGTATATACATAGTCACCAGCAGATGTCACTATTTCTTTGTGAGAAGAAAGAAAAGACCAGGGGAAAAAGAAAAAAAAAATATTATATACAGTCAGAATTCCAAAATTAAGTGTTTGGAAGCAAATATTTCAGTACCTTGGACAGAACCAAGGAGCATATAGTACTATTTGTTGTGGCTAATTCATCTATTGAATCCTATACTGAAATTTCTAATTGCAGGGTTCTTTATCACACCTCAAGAGAGCTGCATAACTAAACATCTGGAATTATTTGTTAGGATCATCAATGACAGCTTGTTGTCATGATGTACTTAACTCTTTCTGCAAAAATTAAAATGGTGGATAGGAGCAAACCAGGTCATATTGTGGCCCTTTCAACTATTAAAATGCATTTAATTTAAAAAAAATTCTCAAAACCATAAAGTACAACTGCAGAATTTTAGCAGGACAAAAAATCCCAGCTAGTTTTAGAGAAAAACAGCTAATGATTATAGAATGAAAAGCAAAACCCAAAATGTTTTTCTGTATAATTATTTTAAATTTTGTATTCTTTAAAGTACAATATTCTCATAGGACAAATTGATTAAACATAAGTTGATAACTTTACAAACTCTTTCTTTACAAAGACTTTACAACAGGTTGTCAAACTCCTGGCCAATGGGCTGGATGCATCACGTCCCACTACATCATGTGACACTCCCGTGATGACATGAAAGACTGCTTTACAAAGTCTTTCTCTCCTTTGGCTCCTCCTATTTCCCACTGACGTTCCTATTCATGGATGTTTGAATTAACATAAATACTGTGTGCATTACCATTTCTTTCAAAACAAAGATTAAATGAAAGCTACCTACTGTAAGTTTGATCAACACAATAAATCATAGTTATTGCTAATGATGAAAAGGGAGATTGAATTCAGATCAATATAGATAGAGTACTATAATCTCCCCATCATTATTTAGTAATTGGGCTCTGTATCTTTTAATCTGGAGTTGATTTGCCATTTTTTTAAGCAAGGCACTGCCCTTAGAATTCAATTAGGCTGAAAAATGGCTATTAATGCAAGACTGCAGCCAAATCTCAATCAAATCAATAATACCGTTCTTTTCCTATTTATTATATGAATTTTCTCATCAGACATGGAGAGTAAGCAATCCCAATTTACTTCTGTTCAAAGATACAGAGTTATGCATAATAGTGATTTAATACTTTATGTGAAGAGCAAGTGGAACTAAGTTTCAATTTTTTGCTTCCTTATGTGCTTCTCTTTTATTTGATCTTGGTTTAACATTTTAAAGACTACATTTTTTAGCAATTAAAATTCCCATTCATTCAAGTATGGCATTTTCTAATTTTCCATGATATGGTTCATTATCCCACATATAAATGAGTATGCACTGCAAAGAAATATTTTTAGATTTAACAAACTCATGTATTAAACTCTATTATTAAAGAAGGAAAAAAAGCTATTCATATGATACCAAGGGATTTTAAATATTCAGCTTGTAAAGTAAAGGCTGCATTATCTGCATTATTTTAAAAATATGGATATCTTTGGCTTCCACCTTCCTAAGCCATTGTCCCAAGACTGTGATAAAAGGTAATTTCTGTAAGAAATTAGTTAGCAAATAGCTCTGAAATCTTTTTTGAAACAGGTAACAGGTAATGGAGATAGACAAATCGAAAAGATCTTGTAGTACCACTGAAGACTAATATCTTCTATTATAAGATCTGAGCATTTCAGAGCTGTAGCTCCACGAATCTGATGAACACAGACTCTTTCTGAATTTTGTCTAAATCAACTAACATGGTTCTCTTGCTACAGTGTCTAATGACAGTGTGTATCTTTCCTTACTTTTTATTCATGATTAGCATGATTTGGTTTGTTTTTATTTGAAATTTAATTTCAAAAGCTATTTAGAGGAAAAGCAGGGCAAAATAAAGGAAACTAAGACTTACTCTTGAGCCTTTTTCAGGAAAGCATCGGCAAATGGAACAATCTTCTCCACCACAATGTCCAATATATGAACCCTAAGAAGAATTACAAGATATTCCTGTTTTTATTGTTATCCTATTTCAGATCTGTTTACCAACATCATATAAATGTGTTTGGAAGCTTAGAAATGCTTAATCGTCAATAAGGCTATTTTAAAAACTTGTTTACAAACTAAATATAAAAGAAATAATGGGTAAGATAATGATTGATAAGGAAGAATGTTAAAAGGTTATAGAATCATTAAACCTGTATAAGTATATGGGTATGTGTGCATTATTTTATTTTTCACATTTCTGTACTGTACTAGATGTATGTATGTATGTGTGTACGTATGTATGTGTGTACCCACACACACATGTACAAAAACATCTAAAATTAACCCCAATAAGACTATCTTTAGATAACTGAAGTTATGAAATGGCTATTACAGATTGTTTTAATAAAAAAAGCAAAAAAAACAAGATCAGGAAATTAGCTAAGGATGGTAATGGAATTTTTAAAAAGTTAAGTCAAAACAGAAACACACACACAAAGATTAGTTCCTAGACAAGGCAAAAGAGATAGGAACCAATCAGTGAAGAACATGAAATTCAAGAAATTGCATAATTTTAAGTAAAAGAGGTTAAGTGTGAGACCTATAAAAACATCAGTCAAGATTATGGGAATTGTCCTTGAAGTGCTGGGAAACTGGTTAACACAATTCCCTAGCCAAAACCCAAACTAAACAAATATCAAAATGTTATTGGGAGTTTTGAAATTTTCTGTGTTAAAGTTTACTTCACTGTTTTATAGGAAGAGAGTCGTTTTGGAAAGATGTTGGGGGCGGGTTCTGATTTTAAACAAAAATGAATATACCAAGTCTAGAACAAGGCTGCCAAACTATTTCTGGCATGAATCTTGTGCCTTTACAGCATTGAAGAAATATAATATAGAAAGTTGCTACTGTGAGGTGATAATATGAAACATGGCACTTTTATGCCCATAAGTTGATTCTTATATGCCATTGGGGAAAGGGATTCACTTTTAAAAGAGTTTTTAGGCAACCATAAAAATTTCAAACAGATAAGATGGAATATTATCAGATAATATACTGGAGTTACAGTATCAGCTGCATAACTGACAATTTAGTTTGTCATCCATATATTAGCCAGAATATGTACAGTAAATATAATATTCATAAAATGTATGAACAAATCTACAAAATTGGCTTTAATTTCATATTTGTATCTCAGCCACACAGCATGTAAACAAAAAATATGTGCATTTATTGGTGATACAATGCATCTTGCATTCTTGACTTACCTGGCTTTTGTGTCTCACTGTAATTTAACTCTATGCCTATTACCAAACAGGTTTATATTTTCATGGTGTTCTTTTATTTATTCATCCATTTCTTTATTTTATATATCAAATTTATATGGCCACCCATTTCATGAAATGTGACCCTGGGCAATGTTCAACAAAGATATAAAATGATTTTTTAAAAGTTATTATTAAAAAGATTTTTTTTAAAAAAAAAAAAAACCTAAAGCGTGTAAGAAATTATATATTTGTAGTCATAGAGGACCTATTGGGAACCTTATGCCCGATGACATAGTAGCCAGGCCTTGAGGGACTTCCATAAAGTAAATAATGATGGACCCCCTCAGATTCTCTTCATAGTTTTCTCATTAAATGAATTGGCTATTTTTTCCTTATCAAAAATATTTCCAAAACATTTTGTGTTCTTGATCTTTAGCCTGTATATGTACTTTTGCATATTTAGTTATGCAAAAAAAGACATCTGGGTCATTTTATCTTGAGGCAAAATTCAAGGGAAATATCAATCTATCCCTTGCTTGTTTTGGCTTTTTAGGTGCATGTTTCTGAGGCATTGTTAAATGGGTGTCTCCCCCACCCCCCGTTTTATTATCATTCTAGGAAAGCTATTTTTCAGTTTAACCTTGCACTGAAGATTAAAATGCTAGAATAGTCAAAACATAGATTAATCACAAAAATTTTGACTATTTTTCATTTAATGATTTACAGCTCCTCCCAAAGAAACTGCCAGTGTTTTGTGGAACCATCAAATTCTTTGCAAGCTGACCTTAAGTTCCTTAGAGTTACGTGTTTAATAATAAATTAATTACATTTTTGAGCTTCCTCTGCAAGAAATGTTCTAGTCTTAGTTCTCTTAAGAGGTCACCAGCAGCTAAAATTTGATTCAGAAGTTTCTCAAATGTGATGGGATTTGTGGCAACTAGGCAAGATTTCTTATACTGATGAATAAGTGAGGAAAAGTTTCCCAAAGAGAGAAAGTTTGTGTTATGTCCCTGGACCTTGAAGAAGTTCCCACCCAGGTCCGTCCTCGCTGCAGGGGCGGCTGCCCCTTCTCATTGGCTGGGTTTCCCCAGCAGCCTGCTATAAAAGCAGGCTGCTGGGTCCAGCCCTTTCGCTGTTCGCTGCGAGCCAGTTCCAGGCTGAGCAAGCACGTTCAGTCCTTGTAAATAAACCTTGTTGCACTAAGCCCTGGTTCAGCCTCTTATTTCCCATACTTAATACTGGCGACGAGGATGGGATCGGCTACCAGAGGCAAGCTGCAACGCTGAATCACTAAAACGCTGATCCGCAGCCCAGAGAGAGAGCGA